CGTGGTAGGCTGGCCATATGGTGAGTAGCGGTGTTTGCCATCCTGTAATGTCTCGTAGTACGCTGGCTATAGGGTGAGTGGCTGTGTTTGCTATGCTGGAATGCCCCGTGGTAGGCAAGATACATGGTGAGTAGCGGTGTTTGCCATCATGGAATGCCTCGTGGTAGGCTGGCTACATGGTGAGTGGCTGTGTTTGCTATGCTGGAATGCCCTGTGGTAGGCAAGATACATGGCGAGTAGCGGTGTTTGCCATGCTGGAATGTCTCGTGGTAGGCTGGCCATAGGGTGAGTAGCGGTGTTTGCCATTCTGTAATGTCTCGTGGTAGGCTGGCTATATGGTGAGTAGCGGTGTTTGGCATCCTGTAACGTCTCGTAGTACGCTGGCTATAGGGTGAGTGGCTGTGTTTGCTATTCTGGAATGCCCCGTGGTAGGCAAGATACATGGCGAGTAGCGGTGTTTGCCATGCTGGAATGTCTCGTGGTAGGCTGGCCATAGGGTGAGTAGCGGTGTTTGCCATTCTGTAATGTCTCGTGGTAGGCTGGCTATATGGTGAGTAGCGGTGTTTGCCATCCTGGAATGTCTCGTGCTAGGCTGGCCATATGGTGAGTAGCGGTGTTTGCCATTCTGTAATGTCTCGTGGTAGGCTGGCTATATGGTGAGTAGCGGTGTTTGCCATCCTGGAATGTCTCGTGGTAGGCTGGCTATATGGTGAGTAGCGGTGTTTGCCATCCTGGAATGTCTCGTGGTAGGCTGGCCATATGGTGAGTAGCGGTGTTTGCCATGCTGGAATGTCTCGTGGTAGGCTGGCTATATGGTGAGTGGCTGTGTTTGCTATGCTGGAATGCCCCGTGGTAGGCAAGATACATGGTGAGTAGCGGTGTTTGCCATGCTGGAATGTCTCGTGGTAGGCTGGCTATATGGTGAGTAGCGGTGTTTGCCATCCTGTAATGTCTCGTGGTACGCTGGCTATAGGGTGAGTGGCTGTGTTTGCTATGCTGGAATGCCCCGTGGTAGGCAAGATACATGGTGAGTAGCGGTGTTTGCCATCATGGAATGTCTCGTGGTAGGTTGGCTATATGGTGAGTGGCTGTGTTTGCTATGCTGGAATGCCCCGTGGTAGGCAAGATACATGGTGAGTAGCGGTGTTTGTCATGCTGGAATGTCTCGTGGTAGGCTGGCTATATGGTGAGTAGCGGTGTTTGCCATCCTGTAATGTCTCGTAGTACGCTGGCTATAGGGTGAGTGGCTGTGTTTGCTATGCTGGAATGTCCCGTGGTAGGCAAGATACATGGTGAGTAGCGGTGTTTGCCATCATGGAATGCCTCGTGGTAGGCTGGCTACATGGTGAGTGGCTGTGTTTGCTATGCTGAAATGCCCCGTGGTAGGCAAGATACATGGCGAGTAGCGGTGTTTGCCATGCTGGAATGTCTCGTGGTAGGCTGGCCATAGGGTGAGTAGCGGTGTTTGCCATTCTGTAATGTCTCGTGGTAGGCTGGCCATAGGGTGAGTAGCGGTGTTTGCCATCCTGGAATGTCTCGTGCTAGGCTGGCCATATGGTGAGTAGCGGTGTTTGCCATTCTGTAATGTCTCGTGGTAGGCTGGCTATATGGTGAGTAGCGGTGTTTGCCATCCTGGAATGTCTCGTGGTAGGCTGGCTATATGGTGAGTAGCGGTGTTTGCCATCCTGGAATGTCTCGTGGTAGGCTGGCCATATGGTGAGTAGCGGTGTTTGCCATCCTGGAATGTCTCGTGGTAGGTTGGCCATATGGTGAGTAGCGGTGTTTGCCATTCTGTAATGTCTCGTGGTAGGCTGGCTATATGGTGAGTAGCGGTGTTTACCATCCTGGAATGTCTCGTGGTAGGCTGGCTATATGGTGAGTAGCGGCGTTTGCCATCCTGGAATGTCTCGTGGTAGGCTGGCTATATGGTGAGTAGCGGTGTTTGCCATCCTGTAATGTCTCGTGGTAGGCTGGCTATATGGTGAGTGGTTGTTTGCGATGCTGGAGTGTCACGTGGTAGGCTAGATTTGTTGTCAGTGATTGTTTGCCATCCTGGAATGTCTCGTGGTAGGCTGGCGATATGGTGAGTGGCTGTGTTTGACATCCTGTAATGTCTCGTGGTAGGCTGGCAAAATGGTGAGAAGCGGTGTTTGCCATCCTGGAGTGTCTCTTGGTAGGCTGGCCATATGGCAAGTAGCGGTGTTTGCCATCCTGGAATGTCTCGTGGTAGGCTGGCTAAATGGTGAGTGGCTGTGTTTGCCATCCTGGAATGTCTCGTGGTAGGCTGGCTATATGGTGAGTGACTGTTTGCCATCCTGGAATGTCTCGTGGTAGGCTGGCTATATGGTGAGTAGCGGTGTTTGCCATCCTGGAATGTCTCGTGGTAGGCTGGCCATAGGGTGAGTAGCGGTGTTTGCCATCCTGGAATGTCTCGTGGTAGGTTGGCCATATGGTGAGTAGCGGTGTTTGCCATTCTGTAATGTCTCGTGGTAGGCTGGCTATATGGTGAGTAGCGGTGTTTACCATCCTGGAATGTCTCGTGGTAGGCTGGCTATATGGTGAGTAGCGGCGTTTGCCATCCTGGAATGTCTCGTGGTAGGCTGGCTATATGGTGAGTAGCGGTGTTTGCCATCCTGTAATGTCTCGTGGTAGGCTGGCTATATGGTGAGTGGTTGTTTGCGATGCTGGAGTGTCACGTGGTAGGCTAGATTTGTTGTCAGTGATTGTTTGCCATCCTGGAATGTCTCGTGGTAGGCTGGCGATATGGTGAGTGGCTGTGTTTGACATCCTGTAATGTCTCGTGGTAGGCTGGCAAAATGGTGAGAAGCGGTGTTTGCCATCCTGGAGTGTCTCTTGGTAGGCTGGCCATATGGCAAGTAGCGGTGTTTGCCATCCTGGAATGTCTCGTGGTAGGCTGGCTAAATGGTGAGTGGCTGTGTTTGCCATCCTGGAATGTCTCGTGGTAGGCTGGCTATATGGTGAGTGACTGTTTGCGATGCTGGAGTGTCTCGTGGTAGGCTAGATTTATGGTGAGTGATTGTTTGCGATGCTGGAGTGTCACGTGGTAGGCTAGATTTATGGTGAGTGATTGTTTGCCATGCTGGAATGTCTCGTGGTAGGCTGGCGATATGGTGAGTGACTGTTTGCCATGCTGGAGTGTCTCGTGGTAGGCTGGCTATAGGGTGAGTGACTGTTTGCCATCCTGGAGTGTCTCGTGGTAGACTGGCTATATGGTGAGTGATTGTTTGCGATGCTGAAGTGTCTCGTGGTAGGCGAGTTTTATGGTGAGTGATTGTTTGCGATGCTGAAGTGTCTCGTGGTAGGCGAGTTTTATGGTGAGTGATTGTGTTTGCGAAGCTTGAATGTCTCGTGGTAGGCGAGTTTTATGGTGAGTGACTGTTTGCCATGCTGGAGTGTCTCGTGGTAGACTGGCTATATGGTGAGTGACTGTGTTTGCGAAGCTGGAGTGTCTCGTGGTTGGCTGTCTATATAGTGGGTAGCTGTGTTGGTCATTCTGGAGCTTCTCGTTGAAGGTGAGTGACTGTATTTGCCGTGATGGAGTGTTACGTCGTAGGCTGGCTATATGGCAAGGATCCGTTCGACAAACAAACAAACAAACATACAAACCAATGATAAACAATTTCCTTACACCACTGTCCATTTGATCAAAACACAAACTAAATTGTTCCAAACGTTAAAGACAGGATAGTTTTTCGAACCTTGTTTAAAAAAAATATTTTCAGATCGGTAACAACAAGAGAACGATTACGATTTGGGTGTACAATGTTAGACAATATTGATCTTCTTCCACTATTTTTAGAACAAATTTCGAATGGTTGGTCGCTAAACTCACTTAGTATTTTTATCTGCGATGGAAGTCAGAAAAGTTCTGTAATGCGCCCTTTGGTTCTTTGTGACACACCATCATATGTGGACACTATTTACCTATGTTATATAAAGCGGATAATCAAGACTGGTTATTCTCTTTCATGATATTTTATGTTTATATTCACAGAAAGTATTTGATACAAGTGGTATTATAATCGTGCATATTTAAAACTAATCAAAGGATTTGTTTGACTGTTTGCATACTCAGAAAAGCACCAAGTTCAATTTTGTCAAAACATTTGAATTTTCAACCTTGTTCACCACTATCCCACGCGACATACGTTTCGAAAAACTTCATGGTGACCATAGATATTGTTAGATCTGTAATTTCAAAGGTTCAGGACATTTTGTCAAAAATGAAAGCACCAACTCTGTTCCCCTCCTTGCTGATTATTTTTGGGTATAAATCGGAATTCCTTCTCGCGTTAGCAAAATTAAAACACATGAATTTGGCCAAGATTTTTAACTTAAGCTTTAGGTATATCAATAATTTGATGTCATTGTCATCTCGTCAATTCCCTTTCACCCATTTACCCACCTGAACTGTCGAACAGTCATCTACCTCATCTACTTCATATTTAAAACTAATGATATAAAATCAACAAAACTCTCCACAAGACTGTATGACAAGAGGGGTAAGGTCAACTTTCCATTTGACAACTGCCCCTCGATGTCGAGCAATATTCCAGCATTTCACATTTTTTTTAGGTACAATCGAACATGGTCTTTCTGTGAACATTTCAAAGAGCGTCATACGGTTCTCGGTAAAATATTGTTAGATCAGGGCTACAACATTCAAGGCCCCAGTAAGGCTTTCAAACAAAACGTTTTTTGGTAGATTAGTGCAGGACAATTAACGCACCAGTGACAAAAATTATCTCCGATTCAATTCCCCGTTTTGACTTTACCATTATGTCCCGTGCTATTTTTCCAGGTGAACAATTGACTTGCCTTTACATGTGCCACCGATGGGACAGGATATGCGAACACCTAGTATTATAAATACCTGATGGTGAACAATGAACATATGCTTTTCATATGATCGGAATCGTACAATGGACTCTTAGATTTCTGGTGATTATGGAGAAGGTATTTGTGCCATTTATTTACAGGAACGCAGAGATTACAAGACGATATCGATGCCATGTGGGGAAAACGGATGCCTCGACCTATGACACTCTGTCTGAAATACGTGTGCCCGTTGCTCTTGTTGGTAAGTAAGGGTGTCGCAAAAAAAACAAACAATAAGATTCAATCGCTTATAAAGTCGATTGCCTGAATGTAACAGTGCTGCATGTTTTGCAGCGTAGTGACGCTGAAATAAGACATTAATCGGTCTGGCCAGTGAGAGTGAGTGAGTGAGTTAGGTTTATTATTTGAACAGTATATCAATGCGGGGTCAGCTTGATGTGGGAAGAAAGCCCAGACGTGATGCATGTTCACCACTTTGATTAATCCAAATAGCACGGGCACGGTGGTGACAAACCTTGATATATCATAGCGGCGAATTGGGACTCAAACTTCTGATCATTGGTTTCTGGTCTGCCCAAGGGACGCATCTCTGAACAGCGAGCACCCGAGTCCCACTCTGTGAGAGAATGTCCAATAACATTAATAATTTTTACGTGCATTTACTCCCATCAAGCTCAGAAAGATGCAATATTTTAATTGGAGTGTGCAGTTGAGTGAGTGAGTGGGGTTTAACGCCGCTTTTAACATTATTCCAGTTATATCACGGCGTGTCAGTTTAATGTGAGAGGAAAGCCCGAAGTGATGCAGGTGAAACGCACGAACACGGGTATGGTGCTGACATACCTAGAAACAGAATCGGGGCGAACTGGGATTCGAACCCACAATCATAGGTTTCTGTCGTGCCAGAGGGGCGCAACTCTGCACAACGAATCGCGGCGCCTTAGACGACTGGGTCATCCGTGCCCCAATATATAGGATGATGTATGTTATGGTACTTTGAAGTCTTAACAGATTATTTTCTTCATGAACGAATCACATATACTTATGAATATGTTTGACTTTCTGAGTGATATTTTGCAAAACCCAATTAATCTATATGTTACAAACCCATTAATCAACAGAAAATAGAATAAATATTTTTTGTGTGCATTATTCATCCTTTATATTCAATTATGGGAATCTTGCATAATTGCTTTTGTCCAGGTTGTCTTCAGCTATTCTCTCTATGCGTACCGTCCACCTAAATATGGCGACTACCACTTCCCCGACTGGGCCACAGTCATCGGGTGGATGATCTCCATGGTATCCATCATACCAATCCCTGTGATATTCACATGGAAGGTCTATCGCGCATCCGGGGATTCACTTGCCAAGGTAGATGAATATTAAAGCTGCTACGTCTAAAGAAAATGTGACATTTCCATTATGCTAGAATACTACCTATTCTACTACTACTGTTAATTATTATTATTATTATTATTATTATTATTATTATTATTATTATTATTATTACTATTACTATAATAATAATAATAATAATAATAATAATAATAATAATAATAATAATAATAATATCGATGAAAACAAGGCATGCAAAGGCATTTTTAAACGAGCCAAAGATGTGGGACATAATTTCAATGTCACTGTTGATTTTTCTGATGGTTCTGTAATGCTGGAGGGAACGGAAATGAATGACTAAGTGCCATATCAAATCGGCTGCCTGAACGACCACTGCATCGAGTTTATGTGCAGTGTGTTGAGACGATCAGCGGCCCTGTCTTTCGTTGGATAAAATTCCTTGCATAATCTACATTTAATATTTACAGTTTTGAACCCCGTTTTGTCGTTTTCTAAACAAATCATGGTTGAAAGCAATGTCCACATAAGAGTAAATATTGCGGAACTGCTGTAAATTTATTTACTTTATCACGATTTAAATCGAGAAATGTTTCAGTACTACATTGTAGAATGGGCAATATATTGCAATGTATTCACAACTGCCACAATCGTGTGAACGAAGATTCACAAATATGGACGTTATATTTTGTACTGAGTAGTTGTAATTGTTATGAGGTACTAGGTGTTCAAGTTACGACAGTGTCATATGTTTGTATTTTGCAGAAATAAACCCTCCAAAAAGTTTCAAATTCTATTCTTTTATGAGCAATAGAGCTAGGTAAACCAGTTAACGTTATTTCTGTTTTACAACGGCTCTTTGGAACAACCGCCCCAAATTTCACAATTCTTGTATTCAACATGTAGTCTAATATACATTCCACAAACCTTTTTAACAACCAACTTTGACTGAGCATAAACCTAAGCTTTCTTATTAAATTAGTCGCATTTGTTATAGTGTTAATGACTGAATCAATGTCACATGCCCATTGGCCTGTTGATCATGATACGTCATATATATATATATATATATATATATATATATATATATATATATATATATATATATATATATATATATATATATTGATTAAATTTGATTCTGTTGTCATCACTACACAGGTTTCTAAGTGACAAACGTTGCCTTACTTGCAGCAATATAATTGAAGGCTGTTCAGTCCAAATTACAAAGGACTCATAATTTACTGTAAAACAAAATATGACTTGTGATACTAGAAATGTTATTTACTTGATTGTTTGTAGTGGATGCAATGAAAAGTATATCGGAAAGACAGAACTTAAATTAAAAAGAAGAATGAATCTTCACCATTCACAAATAAAGCAGCCACAAAACCGCACGATTCCACTCAGTGAACATTTAGAGATACATGTGGAAGCGGCAGCGTTTTAGTTTTCCCGCTATATAAGCTAAATGTTGATCATGAACTTACATTGTTTCAAAAAGATCAACATTTCATTCATAAATGCGCGCCTAAGTTAAATGTAAAGGCGTAAGTTATTTGTCCATTGTCACCTTGGTATTGTGACGTCATGGTTCTCTTATTGCTATGACGTCACGAAACTATATGTTGCTACTTCATGTCCGTTATTCAGTTATGGCCTGATGAGACTCAACTACGAGATGAAAGCGCTAGCCAATTAAAACTGTGTTCAATCATACTCCACTTAATTAATTATTACTATATATAAATTTATATGTGTGTGTGTTGACAGTTAATTGATATGGATAATGGATATATATATATATATATATATATATATATATATATATATATGTATATATATATATGTGTGTGTGTGTGTGTGTGTGTGTGTGTGTGTGTGTGTGTGTGTGTGTGTGTTTTGACAGTTAATGCTTTTATGTACCCGTGCGACTCTTTTGCAAAATGTTTTTTGCTGGGATTGTAATTTAAAGAATTAAACGTTTCTTCTATGTGCAGAGTAGGTTCGAATCCTAGTTATATCCCGACATTAAATCATATTTGCCAACGCACCACATGGATGTCAACGCCCGTAGATTCATTATTTAACTAATCAGTTACTCACTCACTGACTCACATGTCACGTACATACTCTCAACATGTGGCATTTGTTCCAGAAACTGAAAAGGGCTCTGAAACCAAGGGAAAGCTGGGCCCGTTCATCACAGGAGGAAACGCCATACAATGGAGTTCTTGAACCAATGATTTAAACCAATTCTTCTATTTATTACATTATACATGTGTAGCAATGCTGTTTTTGTGAAGGCACTGTCTTACATTCATCAGCTGTACAGGTCATTTATAATGTTTAGTAAGTATCGAGATTGTTTTCGTGCATGTATGCACGCTTATCACATATCAATATAAAGACAGGAACAGTATCTACTTGGTGATTATCCCAGGGTTGACGCTGGTAAGCGTCGACGTCCATTTCGCAATATGTTACGCTCTTCTCCTGTGTCTATAGTATGAAGATTTCAGCGAGTTGTTTATACAGCTTCTCTGTTGAACGGTGCATTGATAAACAATGTACATTTTCAGCAGACCAAGGCCAACATTTCGATTCAGAGCATGTCAGTATCACAAGAGGCGAAACGCTCTACCTATGAGTGACGGTTACGAATATGCTGCAGTTAGCAGTTGTTAACAACGTCCCTGTAATAAAATGTAAGCAAGTGATGATTAACTGTTTGTGTGTTATTTCTACGCTTTAAATGAGCGGTAGTATTGCTTGATTCCTGGATCCATGGCCCATTGAACACAAAACATGGTGACCATTGATACGCTTACATCTGTGTCTTCAAAGGTACATGGGGATTTGTCAAAACTGAAAGTTTACTAGGAAAACTATGTGAATTGCTGACACCCTCATAGATACCATGTGCGTGAAATTTGGAGATAGGACATTTAGGAAAGATTGAGGCATGCCAATAGGCCCAAGAGATTCAGTTAAAAGTTTTTAGTGAGGCACGTCTGTTCTTGAATGCAGGAACCGTGTTGGAAGCAGGCACTAAGTCAATGTTTTCCTACAGGTTACCTGTCTACATTGGGCAAATAGATACGTCCCAACGCAGGTCGTAAGAGACCTTGAATCACTCTCCTCTAGCTCTTATATAGGTACAGCCTGCTTTCTAGAAACTGTCACCTCGCGAAGCGTTTCAAATCCACAACTGTGAAAAAGCTACTTACTGTACATGTGGAGCTCCCTATATTGGGAGGGTAAAGAAAGTAGCAAGTGCCGGAGTTTATGACGCCACCAAACATAATTGGATACACACTTAGAACACACTGCAACATAACAATATTGAGATACATGCTTGAGGCATCAAAGTGAGAATAAAATACCCACACGACGGTTCTAACTTGTTCATTAATGAGGGAACCCCATCCGGAACAGACTATCAACCGGACCAAACATGGTAATCACAATGTTTGCACGAATAAGCGTTAAAAGTTATTCATTTTGGGTGCAAAATTGATTGTACATTGTAACTGCAGTTAATTCAGGCGTTTGTCGTTATGCATATGGATGAGTATTTCAGCTTGATTTCTGTACAGCTTGCACAGTCAACGCAACGGCCATCCAATGAATCAGGGAATCAACTATCAATACACATAAGGATGTAAATTCCAACACATTTGCATTGTCCCTGGCTGCGAGATAAATCACCCTCAGTTTGAACATCGGGAACAGTTTGAACAACCCCGTTGTCGACACCAGAGTGTGAACAGCCATTTGACACAGAGTTGTCATGTCTGGGAGCAGGCGCTATATGGATTTCAGATAGTGTTCTATTGTAGGATGGTATCAAAAGGGGATTTTGGAATTATTGAACTCGAACATGATCTTATTAAGTCTAATTCTGAAAATTACAAAACTGCTTCTGATCAAGAGAATGTTCAGTTGTTTGAATATCAAAATTACTGACGAAATTAAGCTTCGGCGTTACGTAGTCGTGGAAAAGAAGCTGATTCATGATTGTTCAAGACCAAAAGACATTAATTTGAATTCATATGCATGAACCCAAATATTCAAATATTCAACAATTGATGATGCTGTTAAAGTGTTGCCAAAGGGTGGTTATATTTTCATGATAGACATTATAAGTGCTTATTGTGCTGTACCTATTCATATAGAGGGGCGGTCGGGTAGCCTGGTGGTTAAATCGTTCGCTCGTCACGCCGAAGACCCGGGTTCGATTCCCGACATGGGTACAATGTGTGAAGCCCATTTCTGGTGTCCCCCGCCGTGATATTGCTGGAATATTGCTAAAAGTGCCGTACAGCCATGCCCACTCACTCATGGACTGTTTATGAAGCAACTGCATTGAAATAGTGTTTCAAGATAATACTTTTGGGAAACTATGTCTCGGTGTTTCAAAGCAAGTGGATCACTTCCAAACCTACTGATTACTCTAGGATTTACCGTTAATACTGATAAGACAGAGTTTTACAGGAGGATAAGGCAGGCGGTCAAAGAACAAATGGCATGTTGGGTCAGCAAACACAAAACAACTGCACATAAACTCCAACACGTTGTTGGCAAACTTAATTGGGTTGCATGCATGGTTCATGCTGAGCGAACCTTCTTACGCAGACTGATTGATTTAATGAACACCATCAAAACGGGGGTGCAAAAAATGGAGAGACAACTGGATTGCTGCACAACTTGTCCACTCATATTGAATTACTTTGTGTGTTATAAGCGGCATGCCAGTTTATTTTGTGATGATGTGCTAAGGGGCTCTAATTTGTGCATGGAAAGGGTAGTAGACGACATCTTGCAATGTTTCCTGTTGGACGCATGTGAATGTGTTTAGTACATCGAGGTTTTGTGAGGAATTTGTTCCAAATAGTTCTGTCATTAATTAAGTGACCTTTGTTACCCCCAAGTGAGATTTGATTATTCTTTGGATGTGTTCTTCGTATGATTGTTATGCACAGGCTTGGGGTTTGATCCCTTGCCGCGTCATACCAAAAGACTTTAAAAGATGGTACGTGTTGTTACCCTGCTTTGTGCTCGGCATATAAAGCCTAAAGCAGAAAATGAAGGTTGTTATACTTTTACTTTTAGATGTCCAGCTGGAATCAATAGAATCAGCGATTCGGGCGGTAAATGTCCAGAAGTGCATTACTTCGTGCTTTCCTTCCCCTTCCAGCTGACACCCTGTGACATTACTGAAATGCTATTCAAAGGGTTGAACTTAAACACTCACTGATCACTGCCTCCATTTGCAATAACTGAATTACTTTTATTAAAAATATATGCAACTTGGGCCTGAGTGAAATTATTATCATTATTATTATTATTATTATTATTATTTACGGATTAAAATACATAAATGAAGCGACGAGGATATGGGTGATCAATCAGACTGGTTAGGTTCATCATCAGATCAGAGTCCTTGCCTCCTCTACACGCAGCCCAGAGAGCAAATAGGATTTCTCGCAGGAAGCGCTGGCTCGTCGAAACCACACAAAATTTGCGGAAATTGTGGAAGGGCTGTTTTCATGCTAGCAAACTCAGCTACCCTCCCAATATCAGACAACAGATAGGGAGGTAACAAACCTAAGGCACCGAGAACAAAGGGTCGGACAACTTGATAGATGGGATGCATGACATTTTGAAAGCGAGGTATGCATATTTGCTATGTTTTCCTGATTCTTGTCAATCACAATAGTGTCAAAATTGTCAGGAAATTCTCAATTTCAAAATCAGGGTTGTTGGCCAGGATAGGCCTGAGGCTGTATACGGGCCTATTCCAAGGATTTTTTTATTTTTCAAGACAATTTTTCGAAGACGGTAATAATAGGAACGAGTCCCACTCCATCATGTCGCTTATGATACTCTGTAAGTGTCAACGGTGGGCATCCACTGGCAATGTGTTGGCCAGTCTCATTAAATTCCTTTCATTATGTACATTTCATATTTACATTTTGATGCAAAATCCCACATTGACTGGTCCTGAGCAGCAAAGAGAAAGCCTTCTGTTTCACTTTTCAGGACTCTGCAGGATTGCAAAACTAGATACAGTGGTCGTTCAGATAGCCTTTCCTTTTAAAACTGAGTCTGTTTCCATTTGATATGGCACTCATTTGGTTGACACTCATGTCTGTACCGTTGAGCAGTACAGAACCATCAACGAAATCAACATTGACATTGGATCATTTACCACATACTTGGCTCGTTTAAGGAATGTGTGGAATACCTTCTTTTCATCATGTTTCTTGACATGCTTCACAGATGGATCATCAGGCAAATAAATGTGTACAAAAGTGCACAATGCAATTTTATCGTGAAGAGCTTTCACGTTAATCAAACCACGCACTCCCATGATCATTGGTAAATATAGGCGCTTAAGGGAAGAGCGAGGGTAGTGGGGGTCTATTGTCTGACATTATTCTTCGTGTGAGGGTGTCAATACCCTGAACTTTTTGTTTCGTCCAATCAACAACACCCAAAGAATACGAAAGGACAGGTATGGCAAACGTATTTGCGGCTTTGCCATTTTTGCGAGCTGCAGATTTGCGAACTGCAGATTTTCTTATGTCGATATTTGTATTCTGCTAAAAGATTTTCCTTGATATGAACATTCTGAAGTCTGTTTGTCCCTTACCTGCATCCCTAAGTATGTATAGCCAATACTCTTCCCCCAAGTAAACTGACTGATCTTGCCACGTTTCAGATGAAGAATGGACATGCCAATGTTATTAGAAAAGGACTCGACAAGGAGAATCTGTCTTTAAAGAGTGGAGTCTCCTTTGGCAAAAGGTTCATGGTCAGTGTGGGCCAGGTTTACCTTTGGCCCATATAGTCTGGGACATACTTAACATTTCATTTCTACGTGCGATCTCATAGTGCAGAGAAAAAAGTATACCGTGAGTGTGAATAAACTCACTGCAAAAATGTCATACTCACCTGACTAACGATTTATATAATTGGGGTGTTTGAAAAGGGGTTGGGAGCGAGGAAGAGAGAGAGACGGTTATACATTGAGAGACAAGAAGACGAGAGACTGGTCACGCATATAAAGGCCAACGAGTGTGATAGTGTAATAATCCTTCCCGAGGGGCTGAACCTTGTATTACAGAGACACTCACTATCTCGAATTCCGGTGCGACCAAGGTACGTGTCCTACCAATTCTCTTTAATATATTATTTCCTGCTATTTTGCATTTTCACGCCTAATGGAATCTCTTTCGGCTGAGTGAATGAGTATGGTTTGACGCCGCTTTTAGCAATATTCCAACAATATCACGGCGGGGGACACGAAAAATGGGTTCACACAAGTATCCATGTCGGGAATCAAACCCGGGTCTTCAGCATGACGAGCCAACGCTGTAACCACTAGGCTACCAGACCGCCCTCTTTCGGCTGATGATCGAGACGTTGATCTCTGGGGTTGACGTTTTATATTTACGTTCTTACTTCGGTATCATAGCTACTATTATTAGCATTAATCCCTACATACCTGACTGATGTCACATTTATGAGGTATTGGTGTTTCAGGTATCTTGGCCTCGAATATTCCCAAAGTGTATTTGCGTTCAGCAACATATACTCTGTGTATTCAGCATTGATATATAGTAGAGGATGAGTTGGGTTAACGCCGCTTTTAACAGTATGCCAGTCAGCTGAATGTGGGAGGAAAGGCCATAGTGAGGTCTCAGATGTTTCCCACAATCATAGGTGCCTGGCGTGCCGAAGGGACGCAACTCTGCACAGCGAATCACGATGCCTTAGACAACTGGGCCACTCGTGCTCCCTGATATATAGTAACCTTTTTCTATTATATAATATTATTTTGAGCTAACATATTGCTTTGCCATGTTCTTTGCTTTTGTATAGCACATTGCCAATGTAATATTTATGTATGCGTTTAATATACCAGTATTTGAATTCTATCCTTATCCAAACGTGTAGGCTATAAACCACCCATGAAAGTACCATCAATCTGTATCTGGATTAGCTGATAACCTATCATTTATTTTTTCTATATGCTTTCTATATGTTTATACACAAAAATCTTTTACAAAAGTAACCAGCCACTTACGTGCATAACTGGTAGTTAAATAGAGAATCTCACCCTCGTGTCTCTTGATATCAAATATATCAACACGAGTTGTTAAAAGTGGAAAAAACTCCAAGGCTTTTTTGGATGAAAAATATTTATTTATCGTAAAACGCTCTCCGGTATTGTGATACCGCTAACTATATCGAACATCCCATCAATGACCTGATGATCAGAGTTAATGAGGTGGGTTCAACGCCGCTGTTAAATGTATTCCGGGTATAAGCGTGTCGGCTTAATGTGGGAGGAAAACCCGAACTGATGCATGTCTTACACAATTACCACTTTTCGTTTACCACGAGCACGGGCCTGGTGCAGACAAACCTAAATATAAATAGTGGCGAACAGGGATTCGAACATTCAATTATAGGTTCCTGACGTAGCCATAGGATGCAACTCTGCTCAGAAACAAAGTTGTCTTCATCATTATATAACTGAAGTTACAGCGAACCGAATCTTACATATAAGTGACAGTTCCATATACATCAAGGAAGTCTACAAGAAGCCAACTATTGATCTAACCGCTTGATACATCTGTGTTACTTTGCCTTCACGTTTGATTATGAGTCAGTATATGTAATCTGTACCAGTTTGATCATTTTCTGGCCCGTCTGTTTAGTTACTGATAATGAATTGTAAAGCAACTCAACTGCAGAAAAAGATACAAACAAAATCTGTTTAATCACTCAACGAGAAATATTTTCTGTGGCAATGAGTGTTCTCTCTCGGGCTTGATCTGTGTTGGTGAAACACAGCAAACATTATAAAACTTAATCAGTCAACAGAGATGTGGTTTAATAACAATGGACCTCTCTGTTTATTTTCATTATTTCACTAGTCATTATTATGACATGGGAATCCTGACAAAACGATTGTCACCCGTCAAGCAGCTGTCATCCAAAGTCTGACTGCCCTACATGAAAAGTTTGCAGTTGTTCCGACTGACACAGCCTCAAACAACATAAGCATTTCATGGAAGCATCATAACGTTAATTGTTTGATACAGCAATAAGTGCGGAAAAAGAATAGGCTCACTTTGTCTCGAACACCTGGTACCATCACTATTTGATAGTGATTCATAAACACATGCTCATGATATGGTCGGAGCAATTGCCTCTACTGCCTCTACTGCATATGGAAAGAATTTTGGCACTTTTATAATTATTATTTTTTATTGTCCTATAGTTTCATATTATTTAATTACGTTCTTGACACATGTACGATTCAAAAGATTTATAAGTATATGAGGACCAAAAGGAAATAGAAATAGAATCAAATATTAAGAGCTGCAACAATGAAAAGGGACAGTTCGTATCATACTATGCCATCTATTCAAAATATAGCATGTAAACCGATGATATTGTAAATGTGTTTCATCGCTCAGAAACTCACTGTTATTGTGACTTAGAGCTGGATGCTATTGTGTTTCAGTATCGATACAACTATGGTTCATGAACAATGGCGCAGTCAACTGGATTACCTCATCACCATTTTGGGATTCGGCGTTGGGTCGGGGGCATTCGTAAAGTTCCCTTTCTACTGCATGCGAAATGGGGGAGGTAGGCCCAACTCAAATGATACTTTAACATTTGTTTCTTCGTGCGAATAATCACATGCACAATACAGATCTTCCTCTTTTAGGCAAATGTCTACACCTCTTTCAATGCAAATCACTTTAGCTTTACCAATAGGAGTTTAAAAATAAAAACAATAATAGTGCTCCACTCATATGAATTATGAAGTTGTGAGCGACGATGAAAACTAAATGATATATACAGACAAAAATGATTTACCCAAATGTTGATAGCTTACTACGTTGTAATATTAAAGAGCAGGTTTCAAAATGACATAAATGTCTCTCTGTTTGACACATTTTAGCCGTTATACTCGTAAATCATGTAAATCTTAGATCATTGCATAATGGACATTGGAAAAAAGACTGTTTCCCAATATGATCATTACAATTGAAGCAAACTCTGCCTTCAACCTTTAAATTAATATATCTGCCTGTTTCGATTCATAAAGGTGCGATGCCTAAAGGTAGAACACTGTGCCCGGGGCATACAACTCTTGACACAATTATCACAGCAAAACCAATCTTAAAACATCCTTTTCGTTCGTAGTGTGCTTGTACCAGCATGAACATTACTTTTCCATATACAATATTTCTTGCTTTTGGATTTATATCTATTTTGCATTTCATCGGTACGATATTGCAGCAAACGGACTATAGACTATAGTATCGATTCCAAGGGCATGATGGCGTAGTGCCATGGTGTAAATATTACAGCTTAAAGCTGAAGCAACTTGGTTTGTATTTTGGTTCTTCTATTTTAAGTTAATTCAAATTATACTGACTTCCCTTATGGTCCATACCAAAGATGATTTACTTTCCCATTTGACTGTACACATTACCATATTCTTTGAAATCAAATGTGTTTCTATACCAACACGGTTACTCTTTCCAAACAGTAGTTAAGGAAATTCGAATTTAAGTATGGCGAATAGTATGCACATATGATATTATATTCAAAAACATATTATAACTGGCAGATTTTCAATAAAGTATATGAACCGATTGATAAACACTGCATATATATTTGTCACACATACACATGCTGTCAGATGTTTTGGATTTTCTGCCATTAGTAGAGATTTTACAAAATTACATGTTCCAGTGACATATGAATGTGAGAAAGAATGATATACAACGGACAACTGTATCAGAGAAGGTAATTTTTAATCATTAATGTCCAAAGAAGGATTTTAATTAAAGGTTTTAACCATAATTTGTTCCAAGCACCTACGGTATTCGGTAATAACAGTTTAAATCATAAGTCATAAGCACGAGCATCTGATGGCACACAAGTTCAGTAGCGTGTATGGCCACCATGTGCGTTGACAACTGCCACACAACGCCTCCGCATGGACCTTGTGATGCTTGTGAACACATGATTGGGGAGACGACGCCATCGTTGCTGCAAAATGGTGCCAAGATCTTTCAAATTCTGTGGTTGGTTCTGGAGAGTGCGCAGACTTCTGCCAAGAGCATCCCAGACGTGTTTGATGGGATTGAGGTCGGGAGACCTTGACGGCCAGTCCATGACGTTGACGACCGCATTCTGAAGGAAATTCCTTGTCAAAATTGCTGTGTGGGGTCTGGCATTGTCGTGTTGGAAGATCAAACCGGGTCCAAGTGCTGCCATAAAAGGCAGAAGTTCTGATGCCAGTACCTGGTCGCGGTAAGCAGCAGCGTTGAGGTTGCCACGGATGACAAGAAGCCTGGAACGTGCATTGCCACAGAAAACACCCCACACCATGACACTTCTGCCTCGAAATCTGTCAACTTGCTGTACACAACACTGGGCGTAACGTTCATGACGGCGTCCACACCCTCGCCCTACCATCAGCAAATCGAATATTAAATCGGGATTCATCACTGAAGACGACTTGATTCCAATTCCTCTGAGTCCATCGTAAGTGTCGCTGGGCCCACAATTGACGTTGACGTCTGTGTAATTGAGTCAGACTGGGCCCGCAGTATGGCCGTCGTGCTTGAAGGTGAGCAGTTCTCAGACGGTTTCCAACAGTTTGCGCACTCAGTCTACCCCTAAAAAGTTCATTTCTGGTTGATGTAGCCGTCAAAAATCGGTTAAAAATCTGCATGTGACGTCACACGTGGTCGACCAGGCCGAGGGCGATCAGCGGTGGTACCCGTTTGCTGTAGACGCGTCTGTAAATCATAAACGGTCCGTCGACTGCAACCCATTGTCCTTGCGACTTCAGCTACGGACGTTCCCGTCTGCAACATGCCGATGGCACGTTCACGTTGCACATTTGAAAGGCGTGGCATGACAAATGGCCGTAAAGACGTTTGTTTTCTTGTGTTTTTTTTGTTTTTTTAATGACTGCTAACAAGTATGGCTGAAAACACGTGCGGTATTGTGGCCACGTGACTAGTTGCACGTGAAAAACCACTTTTGCCACTATAGTGCTGTGCACATGATTTTGATCGATTCACCTGCACAAAAACGGGTGTTATCTGAAGACAATACGTGGCCATTACTGTTTAAATAAAAAATAAGGCCCCACAATGATAACTGGTCAAAATGTTAAAATTTTAGGATTGTGAAGTTTTTAAAATTTGGTTCAGTATATATGTTTGTGCAATATCAGTCCGGGCTTCAAACTTGTAATAATAAATATACACATACATATAATACCTGGTGTCAGAACTTTTTGATGGTGCTTCACATGCTAATGGCAATATCAGAATCGTACAAAGAACACGGTTTGAAGCCTTTCATTCACTCCCGTAGTCGACCCCGTGTTTGTGATAACTAGATGTAATGCATAGACACGCGGGCATAATAGGCATATCATTTGGGGGTTTTATTGACCGAATAATCTATCTTATAACTCACGTGGTGAAAATACAGTTGGTAAGATACCATAGAAAGTGCATTCGTTTCGTAAAACTGGTATCTAACGAGAATGATTGTGGTATTCTCTATATATCTCAGAGGGTGTAATAAGATATTCGTTCGAGAAATGCATACGGCTTGTCTATGGTCACGCAATGTAAACCTTTGAAATAACGACGTATTTATGTTTGTTGAAAAGGAGCGTTCCTGATACTGTTCATGTTCTTCACAATAATTGGAACCATCCCCTGCGTATTTCTGGAAATGACCATCGGGCAGTTCTCTCAGAGTGGACCCATTAAAGTCTGGAATATCTGTCCTGCTTTCAAAGGTAACAAATGAAACATGTCCTTGTGACCATAGGGATGCAAGTTTAAGAGGAGAAACTTATACGTGTTGCAATAGGGTAAGATAAGAGATAAACGTAGTAGGACCACGCCGAATTAGGGGGTGAGTCAGAGTTTTACGCCGCTTTTAGCAATATTCCAGCAATATCACGGCGGGGAACACCAGAAATGGGCTTCACACATTGTACCAATGTCGGGATTCGAACCCGGGTCTTCGGCGTGACGAGCGAACGCTTTAACCACTAGGCTACCCGACCGCCCCCTTCACGCCAAATGTGAAAAGTGAAACCTACCCTACTCTGAAAGTGTAAAGTGTTCACAAAGGAACAGTCGTCAATGGGAACGTTATTCACTGTGCAGTGTTGCGTCCATTTGGAATGCTATTATCCAGTGAACGCGTGTTTCAGTGAAGAAGTGAAGGTCGAATACCTCCAAAACTTTCCTTCAACGTTGAGCTGACTCGCAATGGCATAACAGACTATATTTGGTAACATCACGCTGAACCAGTTAGCTTACCGATAAAGTTTTTGATACAGTGAGTGAGTATGGTTTTACGCCGTTTTAGTAATATTCCAGCAGGAACGCGGCGGGGGACTTCAGATTTTGATGTAGAAGTCGGAAAACGTTTAGTATATCAGTATGACTCGCCCTGTACTTATCCTGATATTTACTACTATTGCAGGTATAGGCATTGGCGGTGTTGTTGTTGCGTGGATATTCGTTAGCTACTACAACGTCAACTTTACATGGTTTATGTACTACTTCTACAACTCCTTCTTCCACAACCTGCCCTGGGACCACTGCGACAACGCATGGAACACCCCGTCATGCATACACAACAAGAACGTGTCAGTTGTGTCTAATGATTCAACGTCTAATACAACAGACGCTAGATACTCCATCAACGGAACAGTCCGAGGGATGACAGCTGCCGAAGAATTCTGGAAGTACGTTTATGAATACTTAAAAATACACAAATTATGTGCCAATTGTATCAGGATTACTGTGGTCACCACAACACTGCATGTTCTTAAATTGAAATCTCGTATGTGTCTTTAATCTGATATTAATGTCTACATCATTTTATTGAAAAGACAACTTCTACGAGGGCTGGCTGAAAAGTTCTAAGCCCAACTGTGAAAGACTCTTACCAAGTCGATAGTTTTCATTTATTTCTCCACATAGTTCCCTTCCAGGTTTACACACTTTTGCCAGCGATGCTGCAAGGTATGGATGCCGGTCAAGAAGAAATTTTCTTCAGCCACCCTAAAAAAGTCATTCACAGCGGAAATGACGTCATCATTACTAGGAAAATGGCGCCCGGTTAGTTCCTACTTCATTTTGGGAAACAGGTGGAAGTCTGACGGGGCCAAATTGGGTGAATAAAGGGGGATGGTCAATGAGTTCGAAGCAACAATCATGGATCGCTGACATGGCAACTACCGATTTGTAAACAGGAGCATTGTCTTGGTGGAACATGACTCCTTTAGTGGGCATTCCCCGTCGCTTAGCTTTGATAGCTTCACGCAACCGTCTCAGTAGGTCAGCATAATATCTTCCATTGATAGTCTGGCCTTTTTCAAGATAGTCAATCAGTAGAATACCCTTAGAATCCCAAAAGACTGAAGCCATCACCTTTCCAGCAGAAGGAACCGACTTGGCTTTTGGGGAGGCTGGTGATTCCGGATGCTTCCATTGTTTAGACTGAATTTTGGTTTCTGGTTGAAAGTGATGAATCCAGGTCTCATCCATGGTTACAAATCGGGCCAAACAATCATCGGGATCTGCTTCAAAACGGCATAAATTGTCACGGGACGTCAGGAATCTGACACGTTTCTGATCCGCTGTCAAGAGCTTTGGCACACATCTTGCAGAAACTTTTGTCATTCCCAACTCGTTGGTGATAATGTGCTCAACCCTCTCATGAGAGATGCCCACACCACTGGCAATATGTCGAGTGGTCAATCGTCGATCAGCCATCACCATGTCATGCACCCGGGTAATGCTTTCGGGAATGGTTGCTGTTGAAGGCCTTCCTGGACGCAGGTCATCGTCAAGGCTCTCTCTGCCACGCTTGAATTCCGCAACCCACTTCTTTACAGTGGAAAAAGGAAGGGACAACATCCCCTAAAGTTGAGACCATGTCAGCATGTATCTGTGTTGGAGTTAGCCCTTTCAGGTGCAGGTACTTGATGACTGCCCAATAGCCAGTTTTGTCCATTTCTGGTGATTTCAATGGCTAAGTTCACAAGATGGTCTGGTACAAAGACAATAATAACACAACAGTTGCAGTTCTTATGTCTATGATTCATTAAATGATTGTACTTGTTGGTGGCAAAAGTTTGTTTCAATCCGATTGAGATATCCCACTTAGGCTTAGAACTGTTCAGCCAGCCCTCGTATTTGTCTACTATATATTCCGCGTTCTCATCTCAAGTGATAATTGATCTTTTAGCACTTTACTCGTATGTCGCACCAAAGTGGCATACGTGCTCACTAAAGTCCGTTCTGATTTTGATTATTGGCTTCTCAGCACTAAACCCTTGCTCATTTCTCCAAAGTTTTAAACGATTCAGACCTTCATAACTGCGGGCTATCCTCACCCATTAAACTGACACGGCCTGGTGTCACTGAACCATTGTTCGAAGCGCTGTCACATCCACCTCCCTCTCTTTCTCAATATATACCGTAAAAATAAGGTTGTTCCCTTCTCCAGATTACAGATGCTGGGACAGAGTGATGGCCTTGAAAGTCTTGGAGGTCTAAGATGGCATCTTGTTGCATGTCTGGCCGTCACCACAGTGCTCTTATTTCTTTGGATATTTCAAGGAATAAAAGTGTCAGGGAAGGTAAGATGTAAAATATTGTCATAAAATGTATGACATGACAGCGACGACGACTGAAAATAGAGATAGAAATGGCATTACGTGGATATAATATCTCCGATATAAATTTCACAAGTCCTTCTACTCTTTTACACATTTTACATGAGTTTTTGTAATAAATTAAGAATCCCCGCTTTCATAGGCGACCTTCAATTTACATTAAAACAATCAGATCACGAGATCACAATGAATGTTTACATTGTTGAACATAGTCGTTACTCATTAACACCCTCACTTTTTTCTACCAGCTTGTCTACATCACAGTGGGTGTCCCCTACATCCTCATCTTGGTCTTCCTCATCCGGGGCTGTCTACTTCCGGGGTCAGCGGAAGGCATATACTACTACGTCTATCCCAAGTTTGACAAGCTTACAGACCCTACAGTGAGCATAAATCTGTTTACATTGTAATGACATCTTTAATTTGTTGAACAGTTTTTGTATTGTCGTCATTTTTATGTTATTTCGTAATTATCACAGTGTGTGTTTGTTTGTTTGTTTGTTGTTTAACACAACACTCAGCAATGTGCCATCTACATGACGGCGGGGTCTGTAAATAATCGATTCTGGAACAGACAATCTAGGGATTGACATCATGAGCATCGATCCACGCAATTGGGATACGATGACATGCATCAGCCAAGTCAACGAGCCTGACCACCCGATCCCGTTAGTCGCCTCTTATACGAAATGCAGCGTCGCCTTTTACGGCAGCCATGGGTTGCTGAAGTTGTATTCCAACCCGGATCTTCACGGATCTTCAGAATTGTGTATTGCAATTGTTTTTCAATATAAAAGGAAGAATAGTATGTTACATGAGACTTCCTTCATGTAAGCAAACTTTATTGTACTTTTTGAGATGTCTGTAAATGCAATGTTCAACAGTTACCATTAAATCATAGCTTATGTTTCTGGTTAGCATCGTCCATACACGGCACGTTGCTGTGGTTGTAGGTGTGGATTCAGTCATGTAGCTACGCCCTGTATTCCATGGGTATATCCATGGGGTGCATCGTCACTATGTCTGGACACAACAGAATGGACAACAACTGCTTCAGGTATAATTTTGACAATCAGTTTTCAAAGAAATGCTCCAATTGTTGTATCACTACAAGATAAAATGTATATAAGAAACTATGTTTAAGGCAGTACGACACTGTATTATAAAAAAGCGATGTATGATAGAACTCGAAGCAATGTAACCTGTCTCTTTATTGAACACATGGTTGTTTATTTCCAACCTACCATGCATGACAAAATTAAACGCGAACTGTTAAGACATTGTGGGAAGCGGTTCTGGGTAGCCTGTCGACTTGGAACAAGGAAACATCGATAATAGCTATATAATAGCTGTAAATGTGCGAGTGTTGTCATTTCCATCAATATTTTTACTTGCATATGAGATGCGTTGAAGTATGTAGCACAGGTACTTCATACATGAATATTGAATACATCACACCACCCAACCTTTGATGTAACTATTGGATATATTCTGAATAACGTAGTTTACATGCCTATCGCAGATTTGAAACCACTGGTGTTTTCCACCATGTTACAAAGACGTCACTGCCCGGTTCTTATGATTATCCCGATTGTCGCTAAATGCTTTCACATTCAATCCTTTTTTAACCACTTTTATCATTGCACATTCAATATTTCTTGTTTCTTCAAGGGATGCAATAATAATTAGTCTGATTGATTCACTCTCCAACGTCTTCTTCGGCTTCGCTTTCTTCTCAATCGTTGGCCACGTGGCCTTCCAACGTGGAGTAACTGTGGAAGCGTTTCAATCATCTGGTAAGGATCATATTCATCATTAAGAAATCGTATCTGTTGCTTATGCCTATGTATAATTTTTACAATAAATTATGGGTACAGATGGCTCAGTCGTCTAAGGCTCTGCGTACCAGACACTTATGATCGTGATAGGCTTCAAGATTTGTCAGCAGGATCCTTGTGCTCGTGGATTTCACCACAGTGGTGATCGTCTAAGTCAGCATCACTGACCTGACAGATCAAGATGACAACATGCTTAAGTGATTTGGACACGTTAACATACATGTAATAAAGCATTGAAATGTACAATCTATCTAGACAGATATTTGAAAGTGGATATATGTTTTGGTGATAACGTTTTACGTAATTGACGCGTATCTGGCCAGATATAATAATTCCCTGGGATATAAAGGAGTCGTTGGCGACCATCTAAAACTTTAAATTGTTTGATAGGCATTGCTTAGAAGTTGACGGATGACAAGATAGACACAATTTCATGGATAACAACTTCTTTAATACTGTGAAAAGCGACGTTTCGGTATAGATCCTTCTACTGTTGTCAAGCAAGACTGAATGAGGAACATAGTACAGAATGTTATCCCACTCATGTATGCAATTGTTGTTACTGTTAATCCTCTACTGTTAATCCTCCATCTACTATATATATTCTGTACTATGTCCCTCATTCAGTCTTGCTTGACAACGGTATAAGGATTTATACCGAAATAATTGTAAGGATTCGTCCCGATTGTGATGTTGTGGACAATACGTGTGCTGGTTGGACAGATCGTACACAACGTCTTAAGCCTCTGCGCAACCCTATTCGATTTCATATGAAATTAAGATAATTTCATTGACAGCTTCCGTTGTTTTAATAGGATACATCCAACATTATAAAGAATTAATCTTGTTCTAAGGCTATCAACATATTCTTCATGGTATAATAAAATAAATAAACTATAAGTTAATGTGTCATTTACAAATCCTGGTTTTAATCTTTGTATGTAAACAGCGATAAGGTCATAGAACAGCTCAGAGTTAAAAAAAACACAATGGCATCTGTGTGCGTCATTAATAAATTTGTGAACGTTTTACAAATTTAGAAGTAGGAAGTAGAAAAAAGACTACTGCAGTACCTAACGGCTCAAACACAGGGTACATCAAACCATGTACCCATCGAGATCGTTTGACAACTTATATTGTATTTGGCATCCACGGTAAAACCGATGCACGCTAATATTTTAGCTTCATTTATGACAGCTTTCTGAAGACTTCCATGCTATTATCACACCCACAACATCTACGTGCCACGGTTTCAGGTGACAGTGATTTCACATAGATTCAAGACATGTATATATGCATGCGTCCCTTTGTCCCATTCAGAACATAGCATGACATATAATGTATTCCCGGACGCAGTTCGATGAGGTTTGACTGTCAGACAGTAATGCAAGGGTATTTTTTCGGAAAACCCTAATCTATAGTTTGGGCTGGTGACTGCTATACCTAACAACTGATTTGAGGTAGTATTTAAAACTTGAGTCAAAAAGCATTATTGCAAATGAATCCAAAAATATATAGATTGTAGAATATGTTTTTTAATTTGAAGTTTACACTATGTACGGCTTTTCCATTGGAAGAGAGGCTGGTCAACTGCGAAACCGACGTTTATAAGCGTAAGAACGACACAATTTGACGTTCATACGTTTTTCACGCGAATGTATTTTTGAAATGACGTAACCACTGACGGACTAAATTCTTGGGAACCCCCTGAACATTTCCTTGCACGAATACATACAAAGGCGTTCTTTCTGATCATTTCGACCCGTTAATCTTGAATCTTGACTGCAATATCGTTCACAAATATCCTCGCTACGACCTATTCCAGTGAACAAAACGTAGAAATGGACATCCACTATCGTAGTTTCGACTCGATCTGTGTCTAGACTGACAGTTACAGTCAACAGCGATCTAGTAAGTTACCTCAGTATCTATTTATCTCCATAATCACCTTTCAATGATCGACAACTGATCAATGATGACTAACACATGTAACCGCCATAGGTTCATTAACAACTTCGGAAATCTTTTCACGTTTATCGTGTCGGCCATGTCAACCTCTTGTATTTGAGACTGACATACGGAGGTAGTTAACATACCTTTCTCATCGAATGATGATAGTGTTTTAATACATTTCTTGCAAACAAACTACAACAGATGTTCCTGTAAAGCAAGTTATGCATACATACGCTCATGTTACCTCTTTTGGGGAGGGCGGTCGGGTAGCCTAGTGGTTAAAGCGTTCGACATGAGTACAATGTGTGAAGCCCATTTCTGGTGTCCCCCGCCGTGATATTGCTGGAATATTGCTAAAAGCGGCGTAAAGCCATACTCACTCACTCACTCACTCACTCTTTTGGGGAACTCTTTTATTCTACGATACAGCTGGTTGTTGTATGGCTGACAGTGTAAACATTAAGTCGCACGTAGAGATCAAGCGCTTCATCCCTCAAGATGTAAAATAGTGCTACAAAAATGATAAGAATTTATTAAGTCTTTCACTTTGTCGCCAGCTCCGACGTTTATACAGTTGCCCTCACTCTATGAAGGTTCATACTCCAGTTTACTCACACAAAGTGAAAGTCACTTCTTGAATAAAGTGTGTCTTTCTTTTGTAATATCAATTACATTTAAATCAATTAACGTTTACTGTGAAATAAGTGGAATTTGAAAAAAAAATGTTTTTGTAACGTCGATTTACCCCCAAACGAGAATGGAAGTTCCACGTTTTTATTTCAGTTTTGAAATCACCAGAAATGACGCATTCTTTACTTATTAAGCCGCGACACCTCCATGGTAACTCCATCACTATACCAGTCAGAACAAACGCCTATATTGAACATGCATCTCTTGAATATACACAATTTCTAAAATACATAAAATGTCAACGAGAATAACCCATTCCATTGGGCGTAAAAGACCAAATAGCGATGAAAATTATATGAAAGGATCACTGAAATCAGTACCAGGTGTCGCGAAAAGAGTCAAGTCGTTCAACATACCGACAGCGGTACGAAACGAACATCCCAAAGTAAGGTACGAAAAGAAACCAACATAAACAAATTATGACGTCAGTACCTGAGATTTGCCACTGACAACCGAAGCAAGTCCCTTGGAGGCTCTAAGAACTAAGTAACATATCACTTTTTGTATCGAACGTAGATATATAAATTGTACCTGCTGCAATACTTGTGTTTCAGGGTTTGACCTTGCCTTTATCGTCTACCCTGAGATCGTGTCTGCTCTCCCTCTGTCCCAGCTATGGTCTGTGCTGACCTTTTGTACTTTGCTGTCGTTGGCTATCGATTCTATGGTGAGGAGGAAGTTCCAATTCTCTCAGAATCAATAAATAGTTAATCAAAATGAACCTATAAATTTATTTTGATTATAGGAGTAATTTTAATAACGTAAATAATATTAATACGACCTAGTCGTTATCAAACAATATGGTGTGAATGAATGCCCCAAGGCAACATGTTTCGGAAGAAGTTCTATCTTCCGATATATTATACACTGAGACCATGTTGGTGTAAATCAGATACGGCAATTACTCGAATACTAAAGTACGCTCGAATACTTAAGCGACAGACCCGTGAAGATCCGGGGTAGAATAGGTCTTCAGCAACCCATGCTTGCCGTAAAAGGCGACTATGCTTGTCGTAAGAGGCAACTAGCGGAATCGGGTGGTCAGGCTCGCTGACTTGGTTGATGCATGTCATCGATCCCAATTGTGTGGATCGAATCTCATGCTTTTAATCACTGGATTGTCTGGTCCAGACTCGATTATTTACAGACCGCTGTCATATAGCTGAAATATTTCTGACAGACCCGTGAAAATCTAGGATGGAATAGGTCTTCAGCAACCCATGCTTGCCGTAAAAGACGACTATGCTTGTCGTAAGAGGCGACTAACGGAATCGGGTGGTCAGGCTCGCTGACTTGGTTGATGCATGTCTTCGATCCCAAATGCGTGGATAGATGCTCATTATATCAATCACTGGATTGTCTGGTCCAGACTCGATTATTTACAGACCGCCGTCATATAGCTGGAATATTGCTGAGTGCGGCCTTAAACAACAAACCAACAATCAACACTGGCTGTTATTGCAACATCTGTATCTGTGCAGGTACCATGTGTTGAAATAGTCATCGCTGCCTTGGAGGATATGTTTCCGCGGTTAATGAAGCGACACTGGCTCACCATCGGTGCTGTGCTCCTCAGTCTCTTCCTGTTTGGTCTGATATATACGTCACAGGTAACGGTTAAGACACGTGACTGGTCTGGTTGATATTGCACAGGAAACTTGTGCGTTTAGTCAGATATGTATTCAACAGGTATAAGTTGCCAAGTAAACAAGTAAACGCAACATCATCGTGAAAAGCACGTGATTACGCCTATAATGCAATTAAGTATCTCAATGAACTCTGGTGGGGTTACAATGAGCCATTGTACTACGCAACTGTACGGAATTTTTTTATATATACTGAACCGCAAAAGAAACGTAACCATATTTGTCCAAACACTGTAAACATACTTTGAGGCATATTAAAAAAATGAATCTTGGCAAAACTGATCACCATTTGGAAATTTAAGTGTCAAATGTTCTTAAAGTGAAACACAAACCTAGTCTAATGGCATCCCAAGTCAGTATCTCGTGTGTCCGCCCTGTGCATTGAAGACTGCCGTGCAACGTCATTCAGCCGTCTTTAAATCACGTCCCACGGGTGCTCAATGGGATTTAAATCGGTACTGAGGGCAGGCCACTGCATGGTTCTGATGCCATTCTGCTTGAAGAAGTCTCTCGCAGTCTCTCTCTCTCTCTCTCTCTCTCTCTCTCTCTCTCTCTCTTTCTCTCTGCCATCTGCTGTTGAGCTACAGTACGGACTCTTCTCCACTGCTGGTGGCGCCAATGCTGGTGCTGTGGTGCCCACTGAAGACGGTCCCGGCGATGACGTGGTGTCAGAATGGGTCCTCGGTGTGGCCTGTGACAGTGGAGGTGTCTGCTCGTCAGTCGTTGGCGCACGGTGTCCGCACTAATGTGTGTGTCCCCACTAATGTGTGTGTCCCCATGGTCTGTCGGACTGTTTCGCAGCAGTAACAAAGCGATCTTGAAGATGACGATCCTGACGTCGGGTGGTGACCCTAGGCCTTCAACTACGTGGTCAGTCATCTGTAGTGTTGGTGGTCTGGTACCGTTGCTGGAGCCTGTATGTGGTCCTTTCGTGGATTTGAAATGCATTGGCAGGGCGGTTTGTCCAGCTTGCAATCGTCCAAGGGCTTGGTGTCGCTAATTTCTTGTCAATCTTGGCATGTAGTAGCAATTCAATAACGAATGTATGTTATCCGATCTGGGTGGATTTTTATAGGGCAAGAAATGGGCGAACGCATGTGCATTTCAATTTGCACGGAACTCAACATGCATCGGGTTACCATGGCCGTTGCCGTGATGCGTTTGGGCGATCGGTTTTATTGTCATCTGCTTTTTTTTTTATCATCATATTTCAGTTTAATTTTAGAAACTTTGACAAAAATTACCCACATATTTAAATGACAACGTTTCATGCAATGCCACTTGCGTAACGTTTCTTTTGCGGCTCAGTATATGTATGTTAAATGTAAGCAGTTTTGAGGAAGTAACTATATTTAGATGCTGGTGTCATGTGTAACTTCCGGAAAACCGTGGACAGATGTGGATTATTCTGAAATGTTCTTGTGCCGCTGGGGGCATTGTGCGGAAATTGCCAGAAACTAGTTGGATTGGTAATACGGGTTGGATTGGTCAAGAGTGTGCCTCTCGTCTATCTCACACATTTGATTACAAGAAGATCGGCTTTCGTGTGAAGATCCCTCATCACCCCGGATTGCTTTGGCCTTTCTTGGAAACTACCACTGACCACTGACGAATATATTATTATCAATGACGTTTGCTATCACCACTGTATTTTGTATTTCATAATGACCAGTGACCACATTGCCATTGCCATTGAATATTGTACTACGACTCTAATGTTGTAATTGCTGTGCAGCAATTTGTATTGATTTTTAAACCAAGTGAATATGTGATACATTTGCTGATTGTTGGTTGGTTCTTGTTTTCACTCTTCACGTACAGATTTCTGGGTTAACATTATTTTTCAATTTGTGAATCGACATGTAACAGAAATTGGGGGCTCGTCCGGGTTCGAAATTATATATGTACACATTATTTTTCAAAATTATTGGATAAACATCTTATTATCTAATATTGTGTAAAGCCAACAATCACTTAGTTGTTTAGTGTATAGGAATTTGTTAGCCACCCTTCAACTAAACAAGTGTCTGTGCTTCAAAAATCTGCATTGGTCGAACTGGCATAACATTACAAACTTGACATCATAATCATACTTTGGCTTTTATTGAAGAAAAAAACTTATGTTTGTTTCCAAGTGTGTTCAGGGGAAAGGCTCTGCATATAAAGATATAAAGTTTTGCATGCCTGTGAATTGGTTCCTAAAGCTTACAGGAAAAAGTTTGGACCTGCTAAGAAAAGGGATGGTTCTATTTTTGTCGAGTTTGCACGAGAGAAGGTTGGTTGGTTTGTTGTTTCACGCTGCACTCAGCAGAATTCCACCTATATAACGGCGGGGTCTGTAAATAATCGACTCTGGACTAGACAATCTACTGACTGATATCATGAGCATCGATCCACCCAGTTGGGATCGATGACATGCTTCAACTAAGCCAGCAAGCCTGACTACCCGATCCCGTTAGTCACCTCTTACTACGAGCATGGTGACGCTGTTTCTAAAACTGACTCTTATCCAATACCAAGAACCGGTGACTGCTTTGACAGAATCGTCGGTCAAGCCAAGTACGTCGGAAAATTTGACCTGTTGGAGGGGTACTGGCAGATTCCACTGACTGAGCATGCCAAGAGGGTATCAGCTTTTTTCACTCCAGATGGACCCTACCAATACAAAGTGAGGCCGTTCGGACTCAAGAACGCTCCAGCCAACTTCAAGCGTATCATCAATGACCTTACATCCAATCTTGAGGGTGTCAAAGACTACCTTGACGATATCATCCATCATTCCATGGATTCTGATGGACAATTGAAGAGGAACCGTGCCTTCTTCAAGAGACTCACTTAAACCAAGTTGACTGTTAGTTTAGTGAAAAGTGAATTTGCACAGGCACATTTACCAGTTTTAGGTCATATCATAGGTCAAGGTCAGGTACAGCCCGTACAAGCAAGGGTTGTAGCTCTTTCAAAATTCCAAGTTCCCCAAACCAACGGGGAACTTGTGATATATCTGGATATGGCTGGTTACTACAGTAAATTTTGATTTCTCACACGTGGTAGCCTCTCTCACTAATATGTGGGGCAAAAGGTGAAATGTGTTTGGGACAGCAATTGCCATGCTGCTATTGAGAAGATTAAAGCCATTCTCATGTATTAAAGCCATTCTCATGCTTTGCAACAACTTGAGGTGTACTACTTTGCTGACTATTATTGTGTACACTGATCACAATCCACTAACTTTTCTTCATAAAATGAAGAACCAAAGACAACGTCTGATGCGCTAGAGCCTGTCTTTTGCAAGAATTTGATTTCGACATCAAGCATATCAAAGGTAAAGACTACATTATTGCTGATGTATTGTCTCGAGCTGGTTGAATGTTATCAGTTCTGACTGCACACATGATTTGCATTATTGTAAACATTTCTCATAATTATTATGTATACTGTTTATGAGTATGTACTGTACTTAGCAGTTGTTGTGCTTTTGTGCTCATTATGTTCAAACCGTCTTTCCCCAAAAGGGGAGGTGTGATATGGCAGTGTATCTATTGTTGAACAATGATTGTATCTGAGTTACATTGTTTCTGTTGAGATTCGGAAGACGTTCATTGCATCGTGTTGGGTCAATGAATAGTTGACAGGAATGTAGTACTGTTTAGAGCAGTTTCGAGAAGTCTACTATATTTGGATGCTTGTGTAGCGTGTAACCTTCTGTAATACCGTGGACTGATGTGGATTATTCTGTAATGTTCTTATGCGGGCTAGGGCATTCTGTAGAAATTTCCAGTAGCTTGTCTGACGGTACATAAGGGGCCAAGAGCGTCTCTCGTATCTCTCACACATTTTATTACATCGAGGCCAGCTTTCATGCGAAGATCCCTCATCACACAAGATTCTCAGCCTTGGCCTTTCTCTGAAGCTTTATGCCTGTCGTGGCTGGATGGAGTTTTATATCATCACTGACTTTTGCTACCACCACTGTATTTTTGTATTTGATAATGGCCACTGCCATCATATTATATATTGCCATTCAAAATTTGTTCTACCAATCTAATGTTTACTCCAATTGTAATCACTGTGCAGTTATTTGTGGTGAATTGTAAGCTCAGTGATTATAAATATATTTGTTGATTGTTGATCACTTGTTTGTTTGTTGGTTTCACACTAAATTCTTTTTGGGTTAACATATTCTTAACATATTTTTCAATTTGGGAATCGACACGGAACAGTATTTGCGCTTTCAATTGTTTTGACTTTTAGAAGAACATATTAATGTGATTTATATGATTTGTACATATTCGAATAGATTGTTCTTTTCATCACTTTGATAACGTATATATGAAGGTACAGTACCAATTCCGGTCTCCTGTACATAACCTTGAGTAAACTAAAGAAATCTGCAGCTGAGGAAAAAGTTATTAAAATTTAGGAAATCAAGATATTTCAATTGGAACCAGTGAGTTTGTTCAAAGAGAGTTTGTAATCTGAAACATATCAAACTTATAACATAAAGAAGAATAACAAACTATCAATGATTGAGTGCGGCATAATCCTGACCAATCGCTAAACTCCATTTAGCTTCGCCTCACCTTAAGAGATAGAGATCATATCCTCACAAAGATAATCCACTTGTCAGTTTGTGAAGTCATATAATGTTTTTCTCAACAATGCTATAGTATGATGTTTGAAAATTTCACATGTTAAGTTAGTTTTGGAAATCGCAGAAGTACACATGTAGGAATATCAGGTATTTATGACACCCGATTTTTCAACGCTATTGTATAATCTACACAGGGTGGGATATTCGTGGTGACGCTGGTTGACTGGTACACCTACTTCCCATCAATGGCCGTGTTGGGCATCCTGGAGTGCATCGCTGTTGGCTGGTGTTATGGTAAGAATACATGGACCTATTGAAAGATGTCATTCACAAATTATTTCATTTTACTTAAATTTATTATTGTGACACGGATGTGAAAATGAACATTCCTAAGCCTTTGACGTTTTAAAGTAACACACTGGTCAACTGCAATGTTTACAATTTCTGCACTTCAGCCAAATGCTGATTTTCACAAATACGTGATATCATTTAATATTGACTATCATTCAAACTTCAGCTATGAAATAAATATGTGGCAGAACCCTTTCCATAATAAGACATATCTGCTAAAATCAGATTCAATCACTGTCAAACAGCGGCGATTGCAGATGTTAGTGAAAAGATGAGTGTGTCTTGATCCACCGGTTGAACGCTGCACAAACACATGCAAGGGCAAGGCAAATGTTTACCTGAAACTGAATACAGGAGCATATACTCAAAAAAGGGAATTGCACCAGGCATCATTTTTGCCATTGATGCCTCAAATTTTGAAATGACCTCCACACGTCTACTGTAAAATGTTTTGAAAGGCCTTGCATGTTGTAATCTAGGAGCTATATAATGTCAACCTAAATAAATGAGCATGCTATCTGTGCTTGTGCTATGTGTTAATTACGTCCGAAAAGGGTATACTTGTAAGTGTATAGACAATTAAAGTGAATGGTAATTCATGATGGCTTACTTCCAGGAACAAAGAGGTTTCAGGATGACGTCCGTGCGATGTGGGGAAAGGCAATACCACAAGTCATGGTCATAAGTCTCAAGTTTGTGTGTCCTCTATTTCTAGTTGTAAGTTAGTCATGACCACAGAAGTTTCGATACTCGTGGCATACTCCTGGATATAATTAAGCATCATACAGTATTGCTGATTTAAAACATATTGAATATTGAACGATCTTGGTGAAACAGCCTTCAAAGGATATTTCAGTGGATAACGTATACTTATCAACAGTGTTGAAGGAAAGCCCCAAATAACACAGATTCTATACCTTGACCACTTTTTGAAACCTTGAAGCGCAAAGAATGGCGCTAGTAGGCCAAATAATAACATTTGAACGAAGCATTTCCTCATCGCACATTAAGCTTTAACACCGTGATAAAACCGAAATACTTTTCAAAGCTTTGCTCAAACAACACAGTCGTTGTTTGTTGATTATTCAGAAACGTACCCGAAACTCATGTTACAATGAATCCGATCTTGGAAACGCCCTCAAACTCGCATATGACACCGTCTAGATCTTATATGGGCAATGAGTGTGTAGCGATGATTGAGATTCAGAATTTGTTTTCAGATAAACAAATATCAATTGACAACCAGGACAGCAATAAATACTTGTGTGTGAGTCATCATCAGATAGTGAACTAGAATATGACATCTTTGCACTCATTTATCCCATGTCCCTGAAACCTGATCATCTTCTTGAGGACAAAACTAACTCTTTTAGTGGTTAAATCACTTTATATTGCTCACTGTTTCAATAGCTTGTCCTCTGATCTCCAAACTGATTAATGAATGGTGTCAAACGTTGCAGTCACCAATATTCCAGCAATATCCTTTGGTAAATATATTGTATGAATCTGAACCACGCACAAGCAGATTGTTAAGATAAACCCTGTCCACACCTTTGATGAATACAAAACCAAACTTATGGTGGTGACACGCGACCCTTAGCTTAGTAGGCTCTTATGACATGCATGAGCTGGTGGTGACCTGTTCGGTCATACTCTCCTTCACCCTATCCTTATGTTTGTTTGCTGTTTAATACAGCAGCTATATTTCAGCAAGTTGGCTGGAATTTGTAAATAACTTATACAAATCATGCATTCATGTACTATGAATAACGCACCACGCCGTCGGTTTATGATGCCATGGAATCAACCAACCCCAATCCATGTACATGTAGCTACTCTGACGACAAACAAAGGCTGCTGGACGCAACTTCTAACCTTTAATCCGCAAAGGGTTCGATCCTCCTGCATAAGACAGAGCTGCAGTAATTCCCTGACAAACTTACGGGAAGATACAATGCTGATCTACAGTAATTCCCTGATATACTTACGGGAAGGTACAATGCTGATCTAGGGTAATTCCCTGATATATACTTACGGGAAGGTACAATGCTGATCTATAGTGATTCCCTGATATACTTACGGGAAGGTACAATGCTGATCTACAGTAATTCCTGATATATACTTACGGGAAGGTACAATGCTGATCTATAGTAATTCCCTGATATATACTTACAGGTGGTACAATGCTAAAGGGGAGAGAAATATACAATATTCTCAATTCTGTTGTCCAGTACGACGAGCAGAAGAGGCTCGTGTTTATAACATATATTCCAACTGTTTTACCAGGTGATCTGCTGCTACTCCCTGTACTCCTACCGACCTCCTCAGTACCATGACTACATCTACCCCACCTGGGCAACAGCTGTTGGATGGCTCATATCCTTTTCGTCACTCCTGCCTTTACCGACTGTCTTCATCTGGACGGTTTACAACACACAAGGGGCAACGCTGAAAGAGGTACTCACCACATTAACACTCGACTCTGTGCTAAAACTTGAAATGACACCGCATTTAGTATAACCTGTGAGTTGTATTACTCAGGTTTATTAATGCCAATAATGCCATTGTATTTAAGCATTGTTAAAATTATCAAATAAATCTTTGTCAAGAACAATGAGTGATTTATGCACAATAAATAAGAAATTATCATAATTAGCACATAGTCCGCTTTCCTGGATGATCATGTGTTTGTTAACTAGTAAAAAAGGTGTTTTGGGGACTATTTAATGAATGTGCCATCATCCACCATTGGCACATTTCAGAAAATGAAGAAAAGTTTTGAACCGAATGAATATTGGAGTCGATCGCCGCCAGAGGAAGAATTCACTGAAGTTTTACAACCAATGGTAGAACGTGAGAACAACCCCGTCTAATGGACAAGGATCCCGTAATCAACAGCTTGTTCTTGGTACAACTAAAACATGATCCCCATTTTAGAAAGCTCTGTCTACATACACCATGTTTGCTCCCGAGCCATGTGCCTCCTGGGCCAAATGTGCCTCTTGAAATAAAGGGAAATAGCGATAGTTACATGATTCATAAAGAAGTTCAGGTATTCAGATCTGGCCATGGACACATACAGATGACGTTTCAGAATACAACAAAGAGAGATAGAGAGAGAGAGAGAGAGAGAGAGAGAGAGAGAGAGAGAGAGAGAGGGGGAGAGAGAGAGAGAGAGGGAGAGAGAGAGACGCCTGCGCCAGACAAAGACGGAGAGGACTACCGGCGAGGGAACACCCGTCCCGGCTTGGGTCCAATCACTCAGCCGAGCGCCCGTCCGATCGCTAGGAACCTCGCCAGTTCGGCTTGGGTCAAGCTGAAAGCGAATGAGTTTAAATTTGACGGCACGTCGGCATTATCAGGCGAAAAGATGACTGTTTAGCTTAAATTCTTCAAAATAATATTTTATACCGGTGAGACTTCAGAAGAATGGTTGGTTAAATGGGGTGTAATTAAGCCAATTTATAAGAAAGGTAAGCCTTTGTTACCGAACAACTACAAACCACTTTCATTAACACTTGTAAGATGCTTGGGTATTTTTTTAACTTTTCTTGTTGACAATATATTCACTACTTTCATTGAAGTAAATGGATGTTATTTTATCTGAAGTATGAACTGGTTTCAGAAAGAACTACTTTGCAAATCTGAGAGTGCTGGCGCCAGCCTACAGGATGTCAACAACTACCACACCAAATCAGAATCAGTCGTTCGGCCAGCAGCTTTCGCAGAGAAATATGAAATGTGGATTGAGAGATCTGGCAGCGGTGTTTGGATGATCTTGTGTGAGAAGGGATGATTTTGTCAAATGTACATCTATTGAATAAATTAAAAGTGTCCAAGTTTTTCCAATATTTAGTGTTGTCTTTTTGAACAGGATGATATATAACATTTTCTTTTCACTGATCATATTTCTAAATTTTTACTGTTTCTGGAACTGGTAAGTACAAACTACCAATAGAAACAGGCCGATGGAAAATTATATCACCAGAACAAAAGATATGAATATTGTGTGACTGCCAAGTAATTTCTTTGATAGGCATTTAGAAGTTGGAGTACTAAGTACGGATAAGAATTTATGGATAAACAACTTCTTTATTACAATTAAGAGCGACCTTTCGGTGTAGGTTCTAACACCGTTATCAAGCAAGTAGCCTGATAGAGCTGATTTAGAGTCATCTTTGGAGACTGAGCTTTGATGTTCTTTAAATCGGGTTTTGAGGGGCCTAGATGTTTCTCCTATGTAAGCTTGTCCACAATTGCATGGAATGTGGCACACTGCTCCTGATTAAAGCCACAAGGAAACCACCATCCAGCCACAAGCGAGAACCATCAGGAGCAGTGTACCACATTCCATGCAATTGTGGCCTTTGATGGAAGGCATAAATTAGCTAACAGATGGGAGGAAGATGTTTATGTTGTGCTGCACCATCCCAACCAATCGATACCTGTCTTTGGGGTTGTATAGGAGATTGGAGAGGGAAGGAATAGAGTGCTACATCGTAAGCTCTTGCTGCCAGTTAGTTCTTTGCCGGCCAAATGCCACCAGCCATTAAATCCAGACGACGACAAGTACCAATACCTGTGTCTAAGCCGAGGAAGAACACGGCTGTCGAAACGAGCGAAGATCTGTCTGATGAGGAATCAGCAATTGGCTATACCAGTTGTTCAGAACCTTCAGTTCCTACTGAGATCCCAGTGGAAAGGCCAACTGCAGGAGAGTCAGCAGAAGCTTTAGAAGGAGATGAGACTCATACTGAAGAAGGGAGGGAAGAAGAAGAGCCAACTGATGATACTGTTCACCAGAACCAGACACATCTGAGACTGGGGCCACAGGTAGTGAGGATAACAGAGAAGAACAACCAATTTGCAGCCAGAAGATGCTTCTCAGCCACGGCGGTTAACCAGAACCAGGTCACAGCCCAGTTGGATGAGAAGTGGAGAATATGTTCTTTCTGCCATAACTGATCCTGGAAATCCAGAATGGCTTGCCAGAGCCAACTATCTCAATTCTCTGCTAGCAGATGATAGATTCCGGGATCAGCAACACCGAGTGGCTGATACTCTCCTCGATCTTGTCAGCGGCAAGGTCAAATGATGAGACATCATTTTCCTGTGGGGGGAAGTATGTGGCAGACACAAGTGTTAACATACAGGTTTGTTGTACATATGTTTTATCTATTTGAGGTCCTTTAAGACTGTAATATTATTTTAAGTTGTTAGTAAAGTAGGTTCTTAGTTCAATATCTATTGTGGGCTTCTGGATTAGTTTACTTATAATGTAGAGGGTGGTTGGGTTGGTCCATGTTTGTGTCATTGTTTCTTCTCTAGTTCTAGCCGGGGCGGTCGGGTAGCCTAGTGGCTAAAGCGTTCGCTCGTCACGCCGAAGACCCGGGTTCGATCCCCGACATGGGTACAATGCGTGAAGCCCATTTCAGGTGTCCCCCGCCGTGATATTGCTGGAATATTGCTAAAAGCGGCGTAAAACCATACTCACTCACTCTAGTTCTAGCCAAAGCATTGTTTTCATTGGCTTGTTCAAACTGTGCACTTTTCATCCATCTTGCACTGGACACTACACCATTTCAGAAGTCAGGCAACAATTTGGACTGGGACGCATCTTGGATAAATAATTCGATTGTTAAGGTTTGTAATCTATAAATTTGCTAGATAATATCTATGTACGTATTTGTATAATAATATAACTTATGTTATCTAAGTTCAGTATCATTAACATGCTTATCTCTGGTATGGTGATTGTGTCACCATATTGCTAAGTTAATAATTAAATAAGGCTAAGTAAACACTATAAATGCTTTTCATCCTTCTTCTTTCTGTGTGTGAATGTTTGAGTGAATGCGATGATTTTTATAATTGTGTAAATACTGAATTTGTATGCAATGTCAATCATTGTATGATAGTGTGTAGTTAGTTACATTTCCTCAATTGTATTCTATATGTTATATGTATTCATAGTGGATTCTGTAAATTGGTGTGTGCTGATAGCTGCATAGCTACCACGCACGGCGGCTGCCTGGAGAGCACAAACACGGATAATTGACATGTTTGTCGTGTCACGAAATATATTTTGTAAATAGTGTATCGTGCCAAATGTATGATCAGTTAATGAATTAATATAGTAGTTTCAACAAAGTGGTAATTGTATTTGTAATGTTCATTGTATTTTAGAACCATGGACCATCTATATATTGTAATCTTATAAGTAATGTCTGGATCGAGTTCTCGCCCTTGATAAATTGTTTGTTTATTTCAGGGTTAAGATAATCATTTTATATATCATTGATTATTAAGTTCATGCTCATGTATAGAATATAGACCATGTTTATATCAAATGAAAGCTCGCTTTGTATTGTATGAATATGTATGTGTATGAAGCCTGTATACTACTGTTTTTTTTATAATTACAGGGTGTCATTATCTACTAAGGCAATAAAGACTCACACACGTAGCCTGTGTGGGACGTTATTTTTGCCATCACAAACCCCGGTTACGTATATATAATGAAACAACTCAGATTATGCTTGCAGTTATGTATGTTTGATAGACTGGTATATCACAACGATTCCGGCACGATTGAACTGAAACTCAGCATAAAGAATTAATTGATAAGAATGTCTAATAATATAAATACTATCGAGAGTGAATTTCACGGTGACTGTCTGCAAGAGCAGGTGGTGCCGAAATGATACTCAACATATACTTAACAACAAAAGTTCATGTGACATTGAATAAGATTTAATGCAAAGTTATGTTTTTTACCAAATCTGTAACAATTTCAGTTTGCAACAGATAAAAGACTCCTGTAAGTGTTCAAATGGTTTAATTTGCCATACTGACTTCAGAAAATGCTTGATTTCATAAAAAAAAATCATGAACATGCCAAAATGTCAATTTACAAATCAAAAGCGTGTGTGTCCACCCTTGGTTGCGATGCAAGCAACACATCTTCGTCTCATGGAATGGACCAGGCGTCGCACAAAGTCCTGTGGGATATCTGTTCATATCTGCTGGAGCATGTTTAGAAGTTCCTTGAGTGTCTGTGGAACACGTGGTTGACGTCGAAGGCGCCAATCCATCTCATCTCACATGTGCTCGATTGGTGAGAGATCAGGGGTGCGAGCCGGCCAGGGGATGACATTCACGTTGTTTTGTTGAAGAGAATCCTGAACAAGTCGAGCAATATTAGGCCGAGCGTTGTCATGTGTAAAGGTAATGCCTGGGCCATGACGACGCAAAAACGGTAGAACAACAGGGCCGATGATCTCGCGGTAGCGCTGTCCATTGAGATTTCCCTCTACCACTATCAAACGGGTCCTCTGTCTTGCTGTAATCCCACCTCATACCATAACACTGCCGCCCCCGAACCGACTTTCTTCCATGACACAATGATTGACGTAACGTTCACCTCGAAGTCGGTACACTCGAATCCGTCCATCGCTGTGGCTGAGGTGAAAACGAGACTCGTCAGTGAATAGAACTTGTCCCCACTGCATGACCGCCCAGCATAGACGCTGTCTGCACCACTGCAGACGTGCTTGACAGTGGTTTCCTGTCAAAATGGGACATCTGGCGGGTCTTCTGGTGACAATCCATGCACATCTGAGGCGGCGACCCACGGTTTGTGAAGATATTCGTCGAAGGCCAGGGATGCTTCGTGCAGTCACTGTTGCTGGCTGAAATCGATTTCGTAGGGGTGTTGTTCGAATCCAGTTGTCTTGTCGATTATTGGTTACGCGTGGCCTGCCACTCCGAGGATGGTCTCTGACTGCATTCGTCTGTTGCCAACGTTGCCATAAACACCAAATGGTGTTTCTGGGGACGTTAAATTGTCTTGAAACATCACGTTGACTCGATCCTACTTCAAGCATACCAATGGTTCGCAGACGCTCATTTTTGGACAGGCATGGCATTTCGTAAATGTTGAATAATTGCGTCATTTTTTTTTTTTGAGTGGTTGTTGTCAGCACGATGCTAAACAATGCATATCGAATCCCGCTAACGCACATGTTTTTATACCCATTCTTGGGTAGTGAAAGGCATGGGGTTTGAATAAAAGTCAACTCTTGCATGGAATGCAAGCTTTTCTGTAGCATTTGCGTTTTTGTAACTTGATTCCATACATGTACTACAATATTGAAAACCAAACTGTCCTTGTTTGAAAAATACACTAAAATATTTGTGTCACAGGAACTTTTGTTGTTGAGTATATATAACAAACTGATTTTGATTTTTACAATATATATTTAAGGATTGATTGTGTTCTTTTCGGATCAGTGACGTATTATGCAATCAAAAAACGGATGTGCAAACTGTATGGTCCGCGTAGCGGATTTTTACAAAGGTTTGCACAGCGGTTTTTCGGTTCATACTTCAATGAACCGAAACAAATACATAGGCAATCCTTATAAGTTAATTCGACAACGAAAATAATCTGCAATGAATGAATGAAAAAAATATATAAATCAAAGCAGAGTGGCGAGATTGATGAAATTTGTGGTCATTTGTCGATAAAAACAGACGAGAGAGCCTGCACGTTTGTTGTTTCATTCAGGGTGGTTAGGAAGATGAATATGCATGAATTTCACAACACGTACTGTCCATGATAGGAAAGGTTGAGCAGAAAGAGAATTCCCTCGACTGTAATAAGGGGTTCACCGACATTCCGTTGCAGTCGAAGTAGTCCGCTTCGGTGTGGGCGTGGCGTATATATTTTCATTCATTGTCAAATTAATGCAATAATACGTGACCGATTCAGCTAATCAGAAAGCTTGAAGTTCAAATATATACATGTGTACATTCCTATAATGATAACAGTACTAGGTACAAGACCGACTGATTTCAACATTCCATGTGTAAATTCATATTCTGTATGTTCAAATTCGCCAGACTGCAGGCTATTCTTAAGTTGACATGCCTTGCCCAATAAAGTGAGTGTTATCTGCAAGAGCAGGGATCACTAGCGGATTTTTATCGCTGTTAGTGATATTCCAGTTACAAGACGGCGGTCTGTAAGTAATTGAATCCGGGCCAGACAATCCGGTGATTGACATCATAATTTGTTTGTTTGTTGTTTAACGCCGCACTTAGCAATAATACAGCTATTTACGGCGGTATATGAATAATCGAGTGTGGACCAGACAATCCAGTGATTAACATCAAGAGCACCGATCCACGCAATTGGGATCGATGATATGCATCAACCAAGTCAGCGAGCCTGACCAACCGATCCCGTTAGTCGCCTCTTACGACAAGCATAGTCGCCTTTTACGGCAAGCATGGGTTGCTGAAGATCTATTCTACCCCGGATCTTCACGGTCGATTGATAACATGAGCATCGATTTACGCAATTGAGATACGATGGCTTGCATCAGCCAAGTCAGTGAAACAACTTAATATATTACAAATGTATTCGGATAAATGGAGATTTAGCGTGAAGTTGAGAAAATAATAGTATATTTAGAAAAAGTGCTGCTGAGATAGAAAAAAATGTTGTTTTAAAGGTGAATTCATCAAAGCCGCCCATGAGTATTAATACCTTGGAATGCTATTTACCCACAAGCTCATTCTAAGCATTTTGTTAAACAGACCGAAAAAAACATTCTGTCACACCCCAGATTTATATCAAACCACTGGATTCTCAACTGCAACCAGTTGTGTTGTACGGTGCAAAAAATATGGGAATCTAAGAAGTTATCTGAAATTGAAATGATTCACTTATTTGACTTTGACTTAATTGAAAGTAAACATTTCCTGAATATTGTTATGTCAACACCGAGAAACAGGGTCAGTGGTTAATGTGCGGGATTACAGCTGTAAATTACATCTAATATTCGCTGATTACACTATTGGTTGATAACGTTTTGGACGTATGGACATTGGTTGCCTAGGAAAGCTAATTATATGCTTGTGTAACTCGATATTTTCGGGAAAAATACTTTGGCTTCACGTACACTTTATAGTCATGGTACTCGCTGTATGTGGCTGCGTATGGAATATGTTAGTAATGCTAATGACTTTCTGAAATACTTGTCGTGCTAGTGATATGTACACAAATTTACAGATTTGACTGTGACGGTTCCCACCGTTGGGACAGGATACACTCACCTTTTCGCGAAAAGCGTTATGTCAATTTAAATTTTCAAATATGCAATCTACATATGACATAGGTAGTCTTTGTAAGATACGTGTGTAAGAACTAAAACAATTCTGTAGCGTTTTCAAGGACATCACTTTATTGAATAGCTGTGTCAATAATTAAAACATGCGAGTTTTTTATACATATGGATCATAACTGTAGTAATGCTCTTAAGTGATCTACAACATTGTTGACGTCTTGTGATGTAATCCATCATAGGCAGTCCAAGAAATGTGTGTTACTGCACTATTGACGTCCGAGTCTATCCTTGTTGAAACTGAGACATGATTTGCCCTACAGACATTCAACATATGAACTGAAGATCAAGATATCCATACACACCTGACAATACACCAGTGTGGCTATCGATGCAGGTACAAGGTATCACAGCCCAACAACGCAAGTGTTAATGGAAAGTGTGTGAATGACGCGTGCTACTGGTAGGGCAATATATACATCCCCTTTGCGCAGACACCTTGTGTCATCACTGATTTTCAGTGGTCCATTCATATAATGTTCACAGCTATTTCGCCCGTTACGCCAAATTTTAATCTGTTTCAGCAGATAATCTAGACGGGTTATGCTCTTGCATTGACGATTATATTAAGGTAAGTTAGGTTTCCGTGCAGTGTAGGTATAAACTATCGCATGCTAGTATCAAAAGCTGGTCTTAGATGCCTAGGTAGGAGGTGGGGTGAAATGGGGTTAAACGTCGCGTCCAAAATTATTGCTCTTATATACATGCACGTGTGTGAGTGTGTGTGTGTGTGTGTGCGTGCGTGCGTGCGTGCGTGCGTGCGTGCGTGCGTGCGTGTGTGTGTGTCTGCTTGTACTAGTCCGGGCAGATGACGATTTATAGTGATAGCCCACTGAGATACCATGCCGCAGTTAAACATGAATACCCCACTCAGACACAGTAAACTGACTCCGAGCCGACCAGTCCTTGTTTTAGCCCCTTAATGCCGAGCGCCAGACAGGGTAACAACAAGTAACATCTTTTAGCGTCTTTTAGTATGACGCGGCCGAGGATCAAACTCTACTTTGTATCCAGAGACAGTAACTTGTATAACCCATTGGTGCAAGAATGGTGTTAACAATGTTTGACCATTATTTGACCCTTATTGAACGTTATCAGATCCTATATAACATGAAACTTACGTTGAACGTCTTTGTCAAAATCTTCCGATTCATATGCATCAGGAAGCAGGTGTCCACTTCCATATATCGATGGTACAATAATAATAATAAATACATTTAGAATATATAAAAAGGACAGTAAAACAACTAGATTACCACAGTGTTGTATTCAAACCCTAGTATCCATGAGGATGTCCATCATTTCGCAAATTGTTTTCTGAGTAAACTTTCATTTTAGACATTCCGGTATGTGGTGATAATTCAGCATAGGCCAAAATACAACACAGGACCCTCTTGCACTGACTCGGACATACATATTTTAAGAACATACATTGAAATCCACCCCATCCATTGTGTTATGCAAAATAATCAAAACGTAAACGCGGCTTAAAGCTTTCTAAATCGGAATCATGCTTTAGTTGTATCAGGAAACTGCTGTTGATCATTGAATCTTTGTCACTTATTATAAAGTAAATTGTTGAACTTATTTTCATCTCTCATTAAAGCATCATTTCTTACAGTACATTATCACAGAAAATTCCTTTTCACGGCAATCAGCTAACACAGATGTGATATTCTGAACACATATCCATGAAGCAGGTGTCCGTGTTGAAGACAACAACGGCGAAGGTCAACAGCAACTACAGCATTATAAGTATCCAAGAAACATGAAAGACGAAAAACCACGTTTGGTCACAGATAGTTGGAAACGTCGTGAGTTTTCCTTGTTAGGCGGAATTATTCGCATGTTCTACCATCGGTTGTAGAACTTCAGTGAATTCTTCCTCTGGCGGTGATCGCCTCCAGTATTCATTGGGTTCGAAAGTTTTCTTCAATTTCTGAAATTAGTCAATGAGGGAATAAATCATAATGATCAAATAGTCCAAAAACACATTCTCATAGTCAACAAACTCAGGATCGTTCAGAAAAGCAGACCATGTGATCAAATTAATTTAATGCTTCTAATGTATTGTGCAATGAATCACTCCTTGTTCTAGACAAATATTTGTAAGGTACTTTTATCATAGCAAACATAAAATGGACTTGTTGACATTCACATCCTGTTTTATTATGCCTCAAAGTTAGATTGACCATTCAGAGAGCAGAACTACTGACCCAACATTAGTGCTTATACCGTCAGTAAAAATCCGAGATGGTTCTTACTGACCTTATATGGGACTGTATACCGTCAGTAATATCCATCTTGGAATTTCCAACACCCACTTCAAATATTTAACTTGAAACATCTGGTACAGAAATTCGTTATGCGACACTATTTTGTGTTTTTTATCATTAATTGTGATATGCACGGACATTAAATCACGTTTGTGACTTTATTGATAAAGATTATAGTTACAACTGTCAACAAGGTTTGGTCTCTAAAGTTTGAAGAGTTGTCTCCCTTTGACCCTTAACGTCCGCGTACGAAGCTTATAAGAGAAATGCGATATGGATACAAAATAGTGTAAATGTTTCGGCATTAAAAATTCGTTATGGTGGCTTAAGTTGCCGTATACGGTGTCAGATTAGGTTAGCAGAAAAATATTGTGCGAGGTTAGGGTTAAGAGCAACTTCAGAATTATAAATATCCAGGAATATACGAGCGAAGATCTGAAGAGAGATCAACGACGTTTTGCAAAACATAGTTGGACACGTCGTGAGTTTTCCTTGTTGAGCGGAATTCTGACGCTGCGCCCAATATTGTTTCTGCTTACCTTATGTGACACCGTATACACCATAACTAATAATATGTCACCCTTATTAACAAAGCATAGCTATACAACAGGCAGCATTCACCAACTGCGTTTTCCTCAAAGCTGAACATGTGATTCAGGTAAGATTCGAGTTGTGTTTACCTCTTTCAGTGTTGCCCCTTGAGTGTTGTAAACCGTCCAGATGAAGACAGTCGGTAACGGCAGGAGTGACGAAAAGGCTATGAGCCATCCAACAGCTGTTGCCCAGGTGGGGTAGATGTAGTCATGGTACTGAGGGGGTCGGTAGGAGTACAGGGAGTAGCAGCAGATCACCTGGTACAACAGTTGGAGTATTACACATACACACAGTACCCTTGTGCTTGTCCTACTGGACTACAAAAGCATGGTGTGCTCATCTCCATATATTTCTCTCCCCTTTAGCATTGTACCACCTGTAAGTATATATCAGGGAATTACTATAGATCAGCATTGCACCTTCCCGTAAGTGTATGTCAGGGAATAACTGTAGATCAACATCGTACCTTCCCGTAAGTATATCAGGGAATTACTATAGATCAGCATTGTACCTTCCCGTAAGTATATCAGGGAATTACTATAGATCAGCATTGTACCTTCCCGTACGTATATCAGAGGATTACTGGAGATCAGCATTGTACCTTCCCGTACGTATATCAGGGAATTACTATAGATCAGCATTGTACCTTCCCGTAAGTATATCAGGGAATTACTATAGATCAGCATTGTACCTTCCCGTAAGTATATCAGGGAATTACTATAGATCAGCATTGTACCTTCCCGTAAGTATATCAGGGAATTACTATAGATCAGCATTGTACCTTCCCGTACGTATATCAGAGGATTACTGTAGATCAGCATTGTACCTTCCCGTACGTATATCAGAGGATTACTGTAGATCAGCATTGTACCTTCCCGTACGTATATCAGAGAATTACTGAAAAACAGCATCGTACCTTCCCGTAAGTATATCAGAGGATTACTGTAGATCAGCATTGTACCTTCCCGTACGTATATCAGGCAACATCTTCCCGAGGCAAGTGAGTTAACTGACTATAAAAGTCCAGTTTCCACCCTTGCCGAACTAGGCTTGTATTATGGAGTTACATTTTGGCTGGACTAACGAGTCTATGCATAGTCCAATCAAAATCGCGCACTGAAATCGAAAATCGGTTCGTAAAGTGTCATGCATATTTCGGTCGACTGCAGGATTTGCAAAGCATGTGCACCGCCAACTCGCTGTCAACAGATATTTTCTAAATCTGTTCATGCTTTTAATCAAGGTGCTCACGTGATTTGATGCACTTCGCGATGTAAGACTCGTTTTATCACAATATAGATCTTGATTATCAATCAGATCGTCTTGACTGGGCGCCACCGTTTTGTTTGAAGCAAATGCAAGTGATACGAGAGGTTGAATCTGATTGGTCATATAGGAGAGGCATAGAAAGGACATAACTCGTTATAGCCACTGGTGGCGCTACGATCGAGCCCAGGAATTCCAGCCTAGTTCGACAAGGGTGGAAACTGGACTTTTAAAGTCAGTTAACTCTCTTGCCTCGGGAAGATGATCAGGCAATTACTATAGATCAGCATTGTACCTTCCCGTAAGTATATGTCAGAGAATTACTGAAAAACAGCATCGTACCTTCCCGTAAGTATATCAGGGAACTGCCATAGCTTTACGGTAATGAGAGGCGTTACTCGGATCGGTTTTGGTTGATTTCATGGTACGTTGCTCACAATATGTCAATCACTGATATGTGACTAAATTATTTACAGTCAGACTTCTACTAGCTGACATTATACTGTGGTATATTAAACAACAAACAAACAAACATACATAACGATAGGGAGAAGGGCCGCATGACCGAAGCGGTCACCAGAAATTTATGCAAGTTGTGAGAGCTTTCTAAATTTAGTCTCGTGTGTCTCCTCCATAACATTGGTGTAGTTTTCCTCAAAGGTGTGGATATGGTTAATCTTATCCACCGTTTGCTTGTGCTTGGTTCAGGTTCCGATAGAGTATTCACTTGCTACAGGATATTGATAGAAAATTGTTGACTGCGGCGTTCAACACCATTCATTCTTCAATTTAGTCAGGAAAGGACCTTAGTTTCCAAAGGAAAAGATATTGAAAAGGTGAGTAATATAAAGTAATTAAACAACGAAATACCTAGTTTTATCCTCAAGACGATGATCAGGTTTCAGGGCCATGGGTGAGCAAGTGCCAAGAAGCTAAATTCTAGTTCACCATCAAATGATGTCTAACATGTACATTGTCGTCCGGTTGGCGAACTGATATTATTTTATCTGAAAACAAATGTTAAATTCAACCTGCCTTAATCATCGCCACACCGTCATTGCTGAATGAGCTGGAAATATGGTTAGATCTAGACTGTGTGAAGTGTTAGTTTTTGGCGTTTCTAAGATCGAAGTCAAAGTAACATGACTTTATGTAACGTTTCTGAATAATCGACAGACGAATGAGTGTTGTTTTAGCGACGCTTTGAATAGCATTTCGGTTTTGTCACATCTTTACAAATGTATGTGTGATGAGGACATGTTTCGTTATATATTGATATTTGGCCTAATAGAGCTATCTTTGCGCTTTAAGGTTTGAATAAAGTGGTCAATGTCTACACTTTCCTCACAAATCGGGGCTTTTCTCACATTTGAGGAACGCAGCTAATTATCTACTGATATATTCTTCGAATTATGTTATACGCGGCTCGGCGACTATTCAATAAGTTTTAAAGAGTCAATATTGTATGATGTAATTCGATGTTTCAGGAGTATGTCAGTATCAAAGCTTCAGTAATGAAGAACTACTTACAACTAGAAACAGAGGACACACAAACTTGAAACTAATGACCATGACTCGAGGTATAGTCTTTCCCCACATCGTACGGACGTCCTCCTGGAGCCTTTTTGTTCCTGGAAGTAAATCAGGATCAATTTATAACATCAACATACAGTGTATCTATAGACTGGCAAGCCTATGTATTTTGCAAAATGAAATTGAAGGTAATGTACACATGTCACAGCCAAAGATAACGTGTCCTTTTGTAACTGATTTTCGACTTGGACATTCACTTATCTATACACTGGCAAGCATACCTATTTTGAACGTAATAAACACATAGCACACGTATTAAAAACATGTTCATCGAATTTAAGGGATTTTGTATGAAGTCTAGATTACAACATCCAAGGCCTTTCAAAACGTTGATTGTGGACATGTGGGACCCGTGAAGATCCGGGGTAGAATAGGTCTTCAGCAACCCATGCTTGCCGTAAAAGGCGACTATGCTTGTCGTAAGAGGCGACTAACGGGATCGGGTGGTCAGGCTCGCGGAATTGGTTGTTGCATGCCATCGTATCCCAATTGCGTGGATCGATGTTCATGATGACAATCACTGGATTGTCCGGTCCAGACCGCCGTCATATATAGCTGGAATATTGCTGAGTGCAGCGTTAAACAAAAAACAAAGAAAGGTATACATGTGGAGGACATTTCCAAATCTGACGCATCAGTGTCAACAATGATGTCCGATGCACTTCCCTATTTCGACCTGTTTCATATGTTCCCATGTTCTTTCTGGTGAACAATTGCTTTGCCATTACATGTGTTTGTGACGCGTGCCCCCGGTGGATCAGGACACGCACATATCGTCTCCAACACCTGGTACAATCGCATGTGTATGATATAGTCGGAATAGCATAGTGCTTTCTGATTGTAGCAGATTTTTCTTATGATTATGGAACGGGTTCTGTTACTTGTTTATTTGATAGCTTTTCTGAAGTTTGAATGAAAGTTAAAAGGTTAATAATATCATGTATTTGTACGCATTTGGTTGTACTACACATATTGTACACATTGAAATTTGACCATTGTGTTACTTTTACATGCCAAATGCTTATGAGTGTTATATTGCTGGAATAATGCTAAAAGCAGCGTAAAATCAAACTCACTAACTCACTCACTTACCATAACACCAGCCTACAACGATGCACTCAAGGATGCCCAACACGGCCGTTGATGGGAAGTAGGCGTACCAGTCAACCAGCGTCACCACGAATATCCCACCCTTAAATGTGTAGATAATACAAAAGGGTTGACAGATCGGGTTGTAATAACTTTCTGATAATCATACATTTGTTAGATTTCCAAAGATTATTTGTCGTTTGATTTTTTTTTCAAACGTCATACTGTTGTATTGCTAAGAAGAGTATTATATGACGTCGTAAACTGACAACGTTTCCTCACAAAAATAATAAATTAACTACAGTGAATTGTCTTTGTAACAATAAAATCCTACCTATGTCTTATTTGATTATAAGGTGTGGCGAAGTGAAATTAGGTTGTTCGTTGGTCAAGATTATGTTGTAGTCCCTTACCACTTTCATTTATTGCCTCGATGCTAGATTGTTATTCTTCTAGATAGTATATTTAGTACAAGTTTCAGATTACAAAATCGCATTAAACAATGTCTGTGGTTCAAACTTGGATTTCCTACACGAGGTAAATATCAAGAACTCTTTTCAGCTGCGGATTACCTTAGGTAATGTAAAGGACACCTTAATTGGGAGGTAAAAATGTACCATCACGTACCTTATAATGGGATGTATAGCGACCAAATGAATTGTGTTTCCAGGGGTTTACATGCAAGCCTAACCCTGACTCTGTCCATATGTTCATGGTAATGCCAACAAACACGACATGTTCGCTTATACCTGTAAAATATATATCAGACCAAAACGAGCATATTCAGTTTCACATGCAGTGTTCACCGTTACCTGTGAAATATATATCAGACCAAACAGGAAGAGACTGAGGAGTACACCACTGATGGTGAGCCAGCGTTGTTTCATCAACTTGGGGAAGACATCTTCCAAGGCAGCGACGACTATGTCCACACACGGAACCTGCACCCATACACATGTTGCAACAGTGTGTCACGTTTATGGCTACTTTGGTGTTTGAGAAATTACCGCATCTTAGTTACATCCATAGTGTCTCAGCAAAATATATGATAGAAAATGTCAACGTGGTGCTTTCATAGGCATGTTTGTATATTGATCGTGGGATCTTTAACAAAATATGCAAATTGTCGAAATAAGTGAAAAGCGCATGTATAATGCATAACAGATCATAAGACAGAATTTCCTCAGCCATCTTGTTTGATAATTGCTTGGTCAGATTGATATAATTAACGTTATTATAATTAATCCTACATTCAAATTAATATATAGGTTCATGGTGATAAACTATGTCTAATTTCTAAGCTGAGAGAATTGAAGCTTGCCCATTACCATAGTATCGATATTCAATGATATCAAGGTCAAAAAGGTCAGCACAGACCATAGCTGTGCCAGTGGGAGAGCAGAAATGACCTCAGGGTACACGATGAAGCTTAGGTCAAACCCTGAAACACAGGACGGATAGCAAACGTAGTATGTATTCCACGTTCGATTCGAAAAATGATATTTAACTAAGTCCGTAAAGAAACAGACATGCCATAGTACAAATTCCGATCTCACTGATATCACGAAAATTGATATGCTGTTAAGTGATTCATTTGAACAAACAAAAGACACACAGTGATAGAATAACGTGTCTAGAAACCTCCCATACATCGTTTTTGGATTCAAGCACTGAAGAGACTGTTCTTATCTGTGAGAGGAACTGGACAGGATCTGCCTTTCTGCACATGTACTCTGAACACGCGTGTGTATGTGAGTGAGTGAGTGAGTTAATGTTTGTAGTCACATCGGCAATATTTTAGCCATATCGTGACAAAATCAAGTTAAACCAGTCGACGAAAGACCGTAAAAGAACCAGATTATGAAAGATGTAGATTTAGAACTAGCATGTACCCATACAAATTGAACTGTTCATGACACTACAAATAGAAATGGGCCAGAGATCACAAGCATCCAAAGTGAGGCCACCATACAAGAGACCAAGGGGGCGTACAGTACTTATGCAACCTACATGGTACCCCAGCAGGATTTACACCATCCCTCTGGCTACTGGCCATTGTTGGAAAGTTAGGCCAACACTTAAATTTACAAGTGTACTACGATAAAAACTATAGCAGAATAATATGGTCTCTCTACATACTCTACATACTCTCACAGGGGGACAATAATTACGCTACTTCAACGCCCCTTGAGAGTATAACCACTTACATTCGCTGATATCAAATTTACTCATACTAATTTTAAAATAAGAATTCATAAATTACAAACATGATCTTCAAAAATGTTGTAACAAAGATATTTCTTTTAAAAAGCAAATGATTAAATGAGAAAACATGGTATTAAAAAGGTCCTTAATACTTTATGCTTTGAAATGTTTATCCTGATTTTCTTATCTCATCCCCGTTGGGTGTTTGATACGAATGCCAGAAAGTCTAGTGCTTTCAGGCATTTAGCTCTTAGACATTTAATATGTTGCAAGAATGTGCGATGACTTGGCCTCTACGACTACTTATATGGGATTGCCAGATAAAATAGTTCTGGATCCTTGTGTGGTCTATATTTTTTGCAGACAAGCATGCTATTAGGTTTAGCTTTGGGAAATGTGAAGCAATTGGCAAGTGACCATTTATGTATTGTATGGAGGCATAATTGCAGCTGTCTCTCAATAGTGGGCATGTTGTTACCACGACAAAACATATTAAAATCTTCCACAAAAAGCGATCAGTCCACTGAATCGCTTAAAACGTTTGAGAGACTATTTATCTTGATACTGAATAGTGTCGCAGACAAAATTCTGCCTTGGGAGACACCCTGATCCTGATCATTATGATCAGACATGGTTGAACCCACTCGGGACGTGAAATTGCCTGTCACTTAAAAATGAGGCAAACGACCTCTCACACCAAAAACATGTAAATCCTTTAACAGGCCATGCTTCCAGGTAGTCCCGTGTGCTTGCTCGAGATAAAAGAAAATTGATACTACGTGTTGTTATTTACTATAACATTTTAACAAAAGATTCTAATCGTAAACCACATTGAATATTTGTGATAAAATTGTTGATTTCCAAATACCAAACAAATCTATTATTTACCATTCGTTCCATGGTTTTACAGACACAACTGGTTAACGATATATGGCGGTAATTAGAGGGATCTGTATGATTCCGGCCAGGCTTTGGTATAGGGACTACAATGATATTATGCCACGAAGGAGGAAAATGTCTGAAAGGGTTTCGAGACATAATTCAGGCCTATGTTTCAAGAGCTGATAGTGGATATTAGCAGCTCCTGTTGCGGTATCATGAGCACGTCCAAGGGCATTTTGTAGCTCATGTAATGAAAAGACTTCATTATAGGCTTCACCATTGTCAGACTTAAAATTTACTTTTTTCTTCTCCTGTTGTTTCTGATATTTTTGAAACACAGGGACATAATTAGATTTTGAAGAATGTTTTGCAAGTGTTTCACCAAGTTTATTGGCGATGTCTGTTTTATCAGTCAATAACTGATCGCCGTCCCCAAGATGGTGAACAGAAGATTTTGAATCTTTGCCTTTTATTTTCTATATCACGTTCCACACCTTGACATTGGTGTGCTGGAATTTATGTTGGAGACATAGTTCTTCCAAGATTGACACTTATTCTGTTTAAAGACACGTCGTGCCTTAGCATTTGTAATTATAACTTTATCTAAATTATGGACTTTAGGATGTCTGAGAAAATATTTTTTTGCTTTCTTCCTACACTTTCTGGCCTGTGTGCATTCATTATTAAAGCATGGTTTACGAATATGCGAATTTGCAGAGGACTTAGGAATTGTTTGGTCAGCCATGTCATTCAATGAGTCCAAAAACAACTTTATTCTTGTAAAGGTCATGTTTTAAGTATTCAATACATAGTTTCTCATAGCATAACCAATTAGCCTTGGTAAAGTTCCATCTTGATGAATGTGGATCATCAGTAGGGTTTATAGGTTTTAGGACAGTAGGAAAGGGACCACTCCCACAGAGGTCATGGACCAACCATTCATTATACAAGTTTGATTCTGTGAGGGACAGATCGAGGTCAGAATACGTTCAAGTGGCTGGATGTAAATATGTGTTTGAATCACCATTAAATATACATAAATTATTGTCAGAAATAAATTCCCCAATGAAGTATTTGCACTTCCCAACAGCGGGATGTGTCCGTTGTGATCACCCATGGTGATGCAGGGTTTGGAAGCTGATCATACAGATTTTGAAGATCAGATTGTTGATGATTAGAGGAAGTTGGGATAAAAAAAGAGCATAGCGTAAAAGCGATGTGCAGAGTCAGACGAAAAGTAACAGTTTGAAGATATGTATAACTATGTATGACGCCCTGCCACACCAATATAGTAGAGCCTCTCCTGGGGTACATTACTGCAGGCGTCCTTATCATTTTGTGTTTGCCGCAAAACGTTCACAAAGATAACTTAATGATGATACGTCTGTTCAAATCGAGTTACGTTGCACAGTGGGATAAGACGTGTAGGATCTGTCCAAACAGCACAGGCATTGTCAAAAGGGTGACTATCGGGACAAATTCTAACATTTACCACCTACCTCATTCTGAGAGCGTTAATGAGTTCGGTTTTGCGCTTCTTGGAACATTATTCCAGTTATATCACATCCTGGCAGAGGTTCATCACTGTGGTTAAACCCCCGAGCACAGGGTATGGCAAATTTTGAAACGTAATCACAATGCTAGGCATGCTAATTGTAGAGCCTTCGACGACTTATTAGATGTATCAGTAGGTTACTTACCAGAGGATTGAAACGCTTCAACAGTTACTCCACGCTGGAAGGCCACGTGACCAACAGTAGAGAAGAAAGCGAAGCCGAAAAAGACATTGGAGAGTGAATCCATCAGGCCAAAAATTATTGCATCCCTTGAAGAAACAATACATGAACAATATACTGAATAATAGTTTGTGAAAGATTGAAGTTAAAGTTTTTTAAAGATATTTGCACAACATTTTAGCGACTAGCGGGCCAATTAGTTTCGATAAGTGAAGTAGTTGTTATATGTTGGTTAACTTCTAATTCTACCATTGGAAAACACTCGAGTTTGATTGGTCAATCAGTGGTTCAAATTTTACAAACTACAATACACATAGTATCTCTGATAGTTACGTCATATTTTGGATGTAGGGACGTCATTACAGTGTGCAGTTCCCGTTAGGGAAAGCAATGGTATGTACTCATTGGCTGCTTATGAAGTTGCTGGGTTTACACTTCCAATGCATCTCATATATGCAAGTAAATATATTTAGGCAAATGACAACGTTCGGGCATATACAGAAGTTTATTATCGTTATTATCGGTGTTTCCTCATAAAAAGTGAGTGAGTGAGTTGGGTTAAACGCCGCTTTTAACAATACTCCAGTTATATCACGGCGTGTCAGCTTAATGCGATACAGATCTTAGACGTTTACCACATAGGGGAAACCCATAAGCACAGGTATCGTACTGCCCAAGGGACGCAACTTCGACAGCGAATTGTGGCGCTTTAGACGACTTGGCCACACTCATTAGAAGATCCTGATAACCGCTTCCCCCATTATAATAACATTTGGCGTGTAATATTGCTATGGTAGAGTTGAGATAATCATAACGTAAATTCGAGACATTATGTTACATTTTGTCGTATCATACATATACATATCATCGTGTTCTACAATAGTGTTGTACTGTCTTATACAATGTTTGTTATATACATTTTGATACAACAACTGGAACATGTCTGTGAAAACTCACTGACATAAAATATACCTGAAGCAGTTGTTATCTAGTCTGTTGTGTCCAGACATAGTGATGGTACACCCCATGGCTATACCGATGGAACCTAGGGCGTAGCGACACGCATGAACCCACACCTGCAACCATAGCAACGTGCCGTGTGTGCAGAGAGCTAATCAGAAGCTTAAGGTGTATCTTTAATGTTTGATGATTGCATTTATAGGCATCTTAGGGTGTTCAACAATGTTCTTGACTAGGGAGCATGTATTATGAACTATAAATTGAAAGGCAATACAAAATTCTTCCTCTATTTTATTACGCATTCCCTGTTCTGAACACAGTGACTCTGTTTGTATTCGATTATTATCATGCTTTCGTTTGTATTGAACACAGACATACCCATGCGTTCCCTTTTTTATTCCATCAATATATGAATGATTTGGGTTTAATGCCGCTTTTATACTATTTCAGAAATAGGCTGTGTACCTTTAAATTTGTATGTGAGTGATCGAAGCAGAGTGATCTCACAACCTTATAATCCCCCATCCCATCAGCATATGAATACCAACCATCTAGAATTACGTGATAACGTGAACATACGAAAATAACATTGTAAACGTTGTCGATGTGATAACTGCGGAAAGATATCAATGACGGCAATACAAATACTGTTTGAGAAAACAGTAATCGTACAAGTTAAAGATGCGTAAACAGATTTGGGCTCACTTTCGGGTCTGTAAGCTTGTCAAACTTGGGATAGATGTAGTAGTATATTCCTTCTGCTGACCCCGGAAGAAGACAGCCCCGGATGAGGAAGACGAAGATGAGGATATAGGGGACACCGACGGTGATGTAGACAAGCTGGTAGAAAAGATTAAGTCAGTGAGAGTGAATAAGTACCGACCGGGTTATCTAAAACAAACTGTGTAATGCATCGGGATCTCATTGGTTTAATTTAAGAGATTGCTTGATGAGAGAAAGGATTATTAATAAATTGTAATCATTATATGTAACCATCAATATAAGTAGAATATATATCAGAGATAAATCATGTCCACGTAGTTCTATTTCCATCTACATTTGCAGGCGTGGACTCAGTCTTGCGAATGTAACGTGCCCATTGACTTTTGCATATTACCTTCCCTGTTACTTTTATTCCTTGAACTATCCAAACAAATAAGAGCACTGTGGTGACGCCCAGACATCCAACAAGATGCCATCTGAGACCTCCAAGATTGTCCAGGCCTTCACTCTGTCCCAACACCTGGAATCTGACGAAGGGAACAGCCCTATGTATACAGCGTGTATTGGGGAAGACAGTGAGTGATTTGGATGTGACGCAGCTTCGGACACTATTTTAGTTATTTGACGCCATGTCAGCTTATTGTAGAAGGAATGCCTGCAGAGATGGATGTTTAAGACGTATAACATATTGGGGAAACGAGCACAGGTTCGGGTAAGAATTAAAATCAGGGCGAATCTTAGTCAGCCTTTTTTCCACTATGGGGCGACCTACGAGCATAGGTTTGGTCCTGACAGACCAATAAGCATCATCATGTAATAGGTTATTAAGGCTAAGATAATGGCATAAATTGTAAACATATATACACATTGTTGAGTTATCTTTTCAATAGAATAGAATAGAATAAAATGGTGTGGAGCATTAGAATTTAATATCAGAGTGAAGACACATGCAAGATATTTTCTAAAGAACTAAACAGTGCGGGGTGAATACTGCAGAAAGGCTTATACAGCAATTTGTATATATTTAAGTATTTATGAACGTACTTCCAGAATTCTTCAGCGGCTGTCATCCCACGGGCTGTTCCGTTAATGGAGTACACAGCGTCGGTTGTATTAGACGTTGTATCATTAGACAAAACTGACGCGTTCTTGTTGTATATGCATGCCGGGGTGTTCCATGCGTTGTCGCAGTGGTCCCAGGGCAGGTTGTGGGAGAAGGAGTGGTAGAGGTAGTACATAAACCATGTAAAGTTGACGTTGTAGTAGCTAACGTATATCGACGTAGCAACAACGCTGCCAACACCTATACCTGCAATAGTATGAAATATAACTATTGGTATATGGGCGAGTCATAATGATTAAGGGAACGTTTTCCTTTTGAAAAATGTATCGAGAAGGTAACTGTATCAACGCCATGTTATCATTTACTGTCTGTTATGCCACTGTGAGTCAGCCCGATGTTGAAGGAAATTGATAGCGGTATTAGGCCTTTACTTCTTCACCAAAACACGACCACGTGTATGGTGGTGACCAATCAGGGATCATAATCAGATAATCAGTGTTAACATGGGATTGAAATCCATGTTCACTGGATCCTGCCACACCTAATGGATGCAACTCAATTGCGGCACCAACGACGGCTTGTCCACCCATGCAAACCAACACTTTACGTATTGAAACGACGGTACGTTTCCCTTTTGAAACTGTGATAGGTATTCCTGTTGCAGCTAGATATATAGCTTACCTTTGAAACCTTATTGCCTATTTAATAGATAATATTGCCTTTTGAATGATAATGTTGCCCGCTTGAAACAAACCTATGTTACTCTTTTTAAACTAGACATAGCTTCCCGATTGAAACTTGGGCTTACTTGCCTGTTGCCACTTGGGCATGTTTCAGTTGTTACCTTTGAAGGCAGGACACATATTCCAGACTTTAATAGGTCCACTCTGAGAGAACTGTCCGATGGTCATCTCCAGAAACACACAGGGGATGGCTCCAATTATTGTGAAGAACATGAACAGTATCAGGAACGCTCCTTGTCAACAAAAATAAATGCTGCATTATGACTAAGATTGAAATTGTATATTTCGATAGCGTGATCATATACTTCAATGGCAAACATCGCCAATATTTGCCCCTTTGTAGTACCTAAGCATGTACATTCTGGACTTTACATGAGTTAAAGGCGACATATAGTTGAATAGGCATATGTTGGCGAGACTGGCCCAAAAATATATTCTAATTCAAGACAGCCACAGGATACCATAAAGTCACGTGTCCAAGGTCCTATTTTAAGCTGCATTCAGCAATATTCGAGTTATGAGACGGCGCTCTGAACATGATCGAGTCTGGACCAGACAATCCAATGATTGACATCATGAACGTCGATCTACGCAAGTCTGGCCCTTAGTCACCTCTTACGGCAATCATGGATTGCTGCACATCAATGCTAACCCGGGTAGCATGTGACTATCTCGTGTTTCTAGCAACAGAGGGCGGTCCATTAAACACACGGCACAAATCTGTACCGATACATGAACATGTCCGGTTATTGTAGGTCACATGCGTGGGATCGTTAATTAAGAATGAAAATAAACATAGCTACCAGTCTTCATCTCAAAGTAAATTTTTGTTCGGAGATATATATAATAACAAACCGTTCTGCTGATGTCCACAAAATTCACGTAGTCCGTAATATGTTTTCGTTCGAGCCAAGAATTCTATGTGTTGTCCAATTGCAGCATATGAGTAATATGACATAATATAAGAGCCCAGTCAGAGGCCAAGCAGAGAAGTTATTGGCTGCCTGTAGAAAGGTTCTCCTCGCATTGATACTGTGACTCACAATCAGTTAGATCACTGGTTGTATCTATCGTGTACCCATGAGACAGTTCTTACCACAATTCTGAAACTGGACCAGTTCTGCTCCCGTATCCTCACGGCGTCATGCATTTGATTATTCAAGCATTGTTGGAAGTTGTACTTTCCTGCATTTATGTTTCACAATTATATAAAACTACGAACTACATACATGACTAACATTGTAATAGGTGTAGACATGTGCCTAAAATATGCAGATTTGTGTAACTGTTCATATGATTTATTCGTTTTGAGATATAGATGTCAAAGTATCATTTGAGTTAGGCCTACCTCCTCCATTGCGCATGCAGTAGAAAGGGAATTTGATGAATGCTCCCGACCCGACACCGTATCCCAGAAGGGTGATGAGGTAATCCAGTTGACTGCGCCAATGTTCATGAGCCATGGTTGTATTCACACTAGTTCTGTGACAAAATAACACACCAAACACTAAGTCATAGTAACAGTGAGTTTCTGAGCGCAGTATCATCTGTGTATGCTATTCTCCCAATGACGACTGC